AGGTAGTGGTGGGCCCTAAAAAACGGTCCTAGCGAAGGACCTGCTCTATACCATGTTGAAATGAACGAACAGGAATGATTGAACTAACAGTGAAATCAGTACAAGTACCTAGCCCTAGAATTGTGTACCCCCTATAGGCTAACCCACTGTAGCCTAAACAAGCACAACATATATAATGTTTGACACTTCGTCAACAAGGACTGGTGTCGTTGTTCCTGCTACTGCCGATGATTTCTCTGCTGCTGCCGATGTTGTCTCTACTGCTGCCGATGTTGTCTCTGCTGCTACCGATGTTGTCTCTGCTGCTGCCGATGTTGTCTCTGCTGCTGCCGAATGTTGTATTGTTACTAACACACGTGTTTGTTCTGCTTCAAGAATGGTATGTGAATACTAAAAGCCTTCCGGACTAAAGTCGGGGTCGAGATCCGGCGGGTGCGTCCAAGATGTGAAGGTGACGATCCCGTCACTGTCTGCGGTGCCCAGGTCTGGGACGAAATCGAGAACGAAGACATTGTTCTTCAGGACCGCCTTTCCGATGTAGAGGCCGCCCTTCCCGTGGTACAGCTTGAACTTCTGGGTGGTACTGTCAGCTTCCAGATGTATGCCTTTCGCCATCAACTGACTGGCGCTCAGTAAGTTGTAGCCAAGTCCTTCTGCTATTAGGACTTGTGACATTTGCAGTATGACATTCGTCTCTCGTGACTGAAGTTGCACTACTCCTTGTCGTCGTGTGCGCAGGTTCTGATTATTGGCGACAGTGATGACGACTTCTCGTTGAAGTTGGTGCTCGCGTTGAATGAAACGTCCTGAAGAGCACATATGTTGTCCGCAGCAACTGTCCAAGAACCATGTATCCTTCCCGGACGGCTCGCTTTGAGCGATGGCGGCGTACGTCGGGTTTGGTTGAAGTGACTCGCGGCGAGACGTGCTGTTGTTGAGTTGTTCTTCTGGTGAGTAATATGGTGGTGACTCAGTTACGTAGGAGTCACTCAGCCTTACCATGCAGCTGACGATGTTTCTTGTTCCTTTCGCAGGTTGTCCCGTCAATGTTGTTGAGACTTGTACTGAAGTTGTCGGATTTGCTTGCGTTGAGGCGACTTGACTGCTTGAAGGGCGAAGTTGGCGTTGCGGCGACGTTGTCTGTTGTCGATTCGGGCAGTACGTACGAGGATGCCGTGAAGTCTTGCAGAGGTGGCAGAACGGAGGTACGATTTTCGGTCGATTGTTGTTGTTGTTGTGGCGCCGTTGAGTGTGAAACGCGAATTGGGGCACTGATACCTTTCTCTTGTGCTGTTCTTCTTGCAGGTCCATGTCTTGCTGCTCGGCGTGGATTTCGGCGCAAAGTGCTGCTTCAGAAATTTTCCCGTTGGCTCATAGTATGGCGCGAGTGGAGCGCCAGTGAGGACCAAGACCGCCGATGACAACCATGACGAAGGCGTCCTCTGAAATCGATCCTCCACATCGAAGAAGCTTGTCGCTAAGCTCGCGGCAGCGACTGATATACGCCATTCCCTTCTCGCCTGGCTTCATTTCGATTGTTGTCAGATGTGCCATTAACCGACTTTGGTTTACGCTGTCTGTTGCTTGATACAGGCTCTTCAAGTAATTGTACGCGAGCTCCGCGGAGTAGCCGTAGCCTCGGTAAGACCGTATGTTTCGTTGTTGAGTTGGAGTGATGTTCCTCAGTAGTATCGTGTACGCCATCATCGATTGATAGGTGTACTGCTGCTTCTCATACTGTGTGCCGTTTGTTGGGTATGGCAGGGACCCGTCGAAGAAGCCAAGGATTTGCGCTCCTTCCATCATCAGCTCGAATTCGAACGACCAGGTAAAGAAATCCTTCTCGTCGAAGGGTTTTGTCGTTTGCAGTTTTAGAACGTGCGCGAACTGCGCCTGAACTTGTAGTGCGTCCAGCGTTCTCTCTTGTCCCAGTGCAGGTTGTGGTTGTGGCATGAAGCTGACGGAGCCGCGCTGGGGCTCGTACGGAGCGAAGGTAGGTTGCTGTTGTTGATTCCCGCGTGCGTAGGATGAGCCATCGAGACTCATGGGCGTCACGTTGTTGTTGTTGTTGGTGTTGTTTGATTGCGCAGGTGCTCCTTGCTGATGCTGCTCGTAAAAGGACATGAAGGAGAAGAACTTCTCCATCATGCTTGGATCGAAGCCCGCGCCTTGGTTTGCGGGTGTTTCAGTAGACCCAGCTGCTAGTCTCGTTGTTGTGCCTTCCTCTGTCTGTAGGCCAGAGGCAGGAGGTGGAGTAGAAGTAGTACCAGGAGAGCCGTTGGAGGAGCTCCTCTCCTTTCTGGTAGACATATCTCTTGGTGTATTAGGTGTTAAGGAGAAATAATTTTAACCCTAACCAGCTCTCATACCATGTTGGTCTGAGTGCCCCTTAGGATCTTTGGTAGGGTTAAACTCTGAGTAGAGTGATGTAGTAGCGGAAGCGTTTAAATGAAGTCCTTGAACCACCTTGCGCTGGTATGTGAGGGCAAAGTAAGTTGTTTAAAACAAGCAAGTACAAAGGTTTATATAAGAGTACAAAGAATACGAAGAGATATAATTAAATTGTTTTACTGCTGCGGTTCGATACAGTGCGACTCGGGCAACTGCTCAATGTCGAGTCAGTTGTGTGTCCTTGCTGTCGCGCTGCATTTGTCAAGTCAAAGGTCGCTGACCTTTGACTTTCGTGTGACCTCCAGCGGTTACTTCAACCTCCGAGGGTTGACTCGCTGGTGCCTCGATATGCTCTACTTCGCTTGTGCTTTGGTGTTTCGACACGACAGAGGCGCTTAAGATTGTTTGTTCCCAACAAAACGGACGGGATAGCAGAGGTCCCCTGTGGACGCGTTGGTGCCGCTGCTGTTTTTCATGCTGCTGGGACTGCTCGTGCCCAACGGTGGCTGAGCTGAGAATGCATTCTCTGGCCGTTTGAGCAGCCATAGGGCTTGGGGGTCATGCTGAGAGCGGCTGACATGTTGAGAACGCCTGACATGCTGGGAGCGCCTGGTGGTTTCTGCTGGTGGGGGTGGTGGTTACGTGTATGAAGAAGGGTTTTGAACGTCTCAAAACCCTTCTTCATACATGTGGTTTCTGCTGGTGTGGGTGGTGGTTTCTGCTGGTGGGGGTGATGGTTTCTGCTGGTGGGAGTGGTGGTTTCTGCTAGTGGGCACAGCTGGTCCTCTGTTGTGCTGCTGCTAAAATGGGTGATGCTGCTACAAGGGGTTTAGGTTGAGGGGGAGTGGGGAAGGGGGAAGCAGCGGCGAGGGGGGGAGCAGGGACGAGAGGGAGGGGGGAAGCAGGGGCGAGAGGGAGGGGAGGAGCAGGGGCGAGAGGTAGGGGAGGAGTAGGGGCGAGAGGGAGGGGAGGAGTAGGGGCGAGAGAGAGGGGAGGAGTAGGGGCGAGAGGAAGGGGAGTAGGGGCGAGTAGTCATGAGGAGAGCGCATGCTGATTTTTGAGTCCACTAAAAAATGAGAGGACATGCAGTCTGGTGGTTTGTCGGTGAAGTTGGTGAGTGTGGAGTTTCTGATTGTGATTTGTTGTTTCTCTTCCGTAAATGCAGCTAGATTTCTGTTTCTAAATCTATCTGTTAGCTCTGCTGTTTCTGCAGATGAATCAAGACGCAGTTTGAGATGACTATATGTGTTGGACGCTTGTGTGGTCTGTGTAGGTGTGTGTGCATGTGTGAGTTCGCTTGTGGTGGAGTGCGTGTGAGGGCGTGTTCCTACAGCCCCTTATCAGGCGACCTCTTGTCAGACTTGTGCAGTTCAATGCGATTCAATGCGATCGAATGTTATTATGCGCGTTTCAGTGCGGTGCGACACGAACCTGAGACCATGTTCCTGCGGCCGCTAGTCAGGCTGGTCTCTTGTCAGAATTGGTCATTCGAGCGATTTCATTCTTAACACCGCTTTTCAGACATCAAAACAAACACTACCGCTTTTCAGACATAAAAACGAACACTGCAGTGAATTGAACATGCAAACCTATGGCACGCATTGTTTTAACGAAACAGGGCCAGTCAATCGCGCGAAGATATCTCACGCGTGAGAACTAGATTTTACTCACACACGAGAAGGAACACCGTTTTGTCAGGTATGAAGCAACCGAAGTATTTTCAGCTACCAAAAAAACGTTTCGATCATTTGTGATTTGTCAGGTCTAGCAGGGGGTTGCTACTAAGGTCCTAGTAGATGCAGACGGAAGTTGATGCAGACGGAAGTTGATGCAGATGGACGGTTGATGTAGATAGAGGGTTGATGCAGATGCAGAGTGGTTGATACAGATACAGATGGGTTGATGTAGATGCAGATGGGAGCGTTGATGCAGATGGCACAGATGCTCCCCCATATCACAATCATGCCCACATGCACACCCACACATGCTGCCACAAACACAGCACCCACACACCCACATGCTCGCAGACACAAACACATCACCATACACACACACACATGCACATCACCACCACACACACACATGCACATCACCACCACACACACACATGAACAGACCACACATGCACATCACCACCACACACACACATGAACAGACCACACATGCTACCACCACACACTTCCAACACATGTAGCAATCTTGCCAGCTTCTCTTCATTCCTCTGCAGAACAGCAAGGACAAGCAGGATGAAACATGAGCAGCTGCAATTTCAGTAGAGAAACAACAAATCACAGTATTTACAAATCTACTCACCATTGCCACCAGGAAACACCAGGTTGCAGCATGTTGCAGATCGCATCCACTTCCCTCCACTCTCCTTCCACTCCCCCTCGCCCCTGCTCTCCCCGCTCCCCCTCCTGCTCTCCCTGCTTCCCCTCCCACTAAGTACCAGGCCACCTCTGCTCTCCCGTTCCCCCTCGCCTCTCCCACACCCTTGCCCCACTTCACTCTACCTCACCTCTGCTGCCCACTCCGCTCTGCACTCGGCCAACTCCCTCCCACTCTAAGTACCAGGCACCTCACATAGTTACACCGTCCCTTGTTGCACCCTACTCCCCACTCCCCCTCGCCCCTGCTCCCCCCTCACCACTCTCCTTCACTCTTGCTCCCCTCTCCTCCGCCCCTGCTCCCCTGTCCACTCTCCTCCAGTCATACTGCATACCATCCACAGCATCCCATCCTGCATGCTGTTCCTTATATCAGCAGCCCATTGTAGCATCCCCCCCACCCCCCTCATAGCAGCAGCACCACCCCCTGTAACAGCACCACCCCTCATAATAGCAGCACCACCCCTCATAATAGCAGCACCACCCTTCTTACCAGCAGCACCACCCCTCTTACCAGCAGCACCACCCCTCTTACCAGCAGCACTCCCCCTTCTAGCAGCAGCAATCCCCCTTCTAGCAGCAACACCCCTCTTAGCAGCACCCCCCCTTATAGCCGCACCACCCCTCATAGAAGCAGCACCACCACTCCCCCTTGCAGCAACACTCCCCCTTGTAGCAACAACACCCCTTGCAGAAGCAGCTGAAGCGCGCACCACTCCCACCAGCAACCAGCACTAATGACCACTCCTACCAACTAACAAAACTGAACACCATTCACCAACCACTCTAGCAAAAACTATTATACATAGCAGAACTAATTGGCAAACAAAATTACAAACTAAAGGAGAAAAACAAGATCAGACAAAAGAGCAGACACACACAAAACATAAGCACAGGAACAAGAGAATCCAAGTATGTAACGATAGGTTGGTGAATATGGACTCAGGGTGCTGCCTTGGGATACCACATCAGCCTGCTGGGACAAAAGCCAAGGCTGTAGAGACTACAAGCCAAAGCTCCTTCCTCCAGAGGGGTTGACAACAGAGTGGCGTTCTGTGCATCCATGTGCCTAGGGGAGATGCCCTCATGAGTGGGTGCTCCCAGCAATTACCCGCTTAAAAGCAGGTGAATTGCGCACATGGGTCACATCCCAAGAGGCAGCTGCCTCATCATTGTCCACGAGAGAGGGGCTATGCGGAGAGGTTGGGGTGAGTTAAGGGGAAGACAGTATTTTAGAAGGATAAGGTAAGCTGAGGGATAGGTGGATGATAGTTAGTAGTAAGGGTAACTGGGAGAACTAAGGGTATATAGGAGAGGGAGTGTGTAAGATGTATTTCTGCAGGTTTAGGGAATTACACTCTGGGGTTGCTGGGAGAAGGGAGTATGTTCGACAGAGTGACAGCAGGGAAGGCCACAAGAGGCAGGCGGGGAATATTTAGGAGCACCTATGTCATATCTTAAACTGGTGGCTTACTGTGTGGGCGGCCTTGGGACAGAGGACTCTAGGGAACTCCAGGGAATCGGTTGGTCAGGGGCAGATACAGATAATAATCGACAAGGGTTTGGTTGGTATAGCTGGTGGTTTGCTGTATTGAGGGCTTGTCAGATGGTGGACAGGACACAAGGTGAACACCTGAGAACAAGGACTGCTGAAGTGGGTATAGGATGACAAGGATAGACGACTGGTGGCTTCACTATGTGGAGGGTTTAACAATGGGGGACAGGACACAGGGAAAACGCAACACGACAAAGGACTGCTGGGTCGGACAAGGATAATAAGGGGGACAGGTATGGTTGGCAGGACTGGTTTAGGTGGTGTTACTGTGTGGAGGGGTTGTCAGGTGGTTGCGCTACCTACACATGCTTCCGTCCATCCGCTCTTACCCTTCTTTTTCCTCTGATCTGCCTTTACACTGCTACACTCACTGAGTTTTTTAATATGTTTCTTCAGACCACCGCTCCTATCAACCTTTTCAACACTCTGCTGCTTGCAACACTCTCAAATATTTACTGTGGAGGGACTCTCAAGTGCTCTTCGTGGCTCTCTCAGGTACTCTTTTTGAGACTCAAAAGCACTTCTCCTAAACTCCTTGGATGTGTCAAGCTAGCTCAGTGTCACCACACTCAGTGCCTCCTCTCCATGTTCAAGTGCTTATGACCTCACACAGCTCACTGTGAAATGCTGAAGACCTCAACCCTCACTGTGGATTCTCTTATCTTTATCATTGATGATGCGAATCGAGTTGCTTGCTTCAGACTTCAACGCGTTTTCCCGTCGCCCACTGTTAGCTGCAAACTGCTACTGTCACTCCTCTGGTTGCTCCCCACCTTGCCCCACCACACAGCACCAAACAGCACCAGAAAGAAATGCTGGAAGCACCAAAACGCCCTCACTGACCGCTAGCCGGTTGAGAAGACCCGCTTGCTGTCGTTGCTTGAAACACCTTGCCACTTCCGCCCCACCACACAGCACCGCAGAGCACCCCAGAGACGTTGGAAGCACCAAAACGCCCACACTGACCAGTAACCGGTTGAGAAGACCCGCTGACTGCCGTTGCTCAGAACACCCTGCTTCTAATCCACCACGCTGCACTGCACAGCACCTTGGAGAAATGTAGGAAGCGCCAAAACGCCCACACTGACCGGTAACAGGTTGAGAAGACCCACTGACTGCCATTGCTCAAAACACCCTACAGCTCCTGCTCCACCACGCAGCACTGCACACCACCGCACACCACCCTTGTGATCCGCAACAAAGAAACTGCTGCTAAGAGTATATCCACACCTGATCTCTGCCTGCTGCCCAGTCCCCTTCACTGGTCATTGCCTGCTGCTACGTGCCCTCCACTGTTTGAAACCTTCAGTAGCCACTCGCACCCCTGCCCACCACACAGCACCAACTTCGACCAAGTAGAAATGCCAAAAGAGCCAAGAGCCAAAACGCCCACACCTGATGGACTAATCGCTCAAAAAAATCCCCTTTCTGCTGTTGCTTGAACCGCTCTGCCACTCCTGCCACTGCATAGTACCACACAGCACCACTTGCATCCCAAAACGAAGAAGTTGCAGCTACGAACCAAGACACTCCCACCTGCTTGCTCCTCTGCTGCCTTCAATAACCATATTAATGTTGCAAACACCCACTGACAGTCTTCCTCTCCTGCCAACCACACAGCCCCGCACAGAACTACAAAGCACCACGCACCACCACCTCCAACCCAGCAAATAAACTAGAATTCCAAATCGCCCACACCTGACCACTAGGTGCCTGAATAACACTCGTTGCTGTTGCTTGGAAAAAGCTCTGCCCCACCACGCAGCACCACACAGCCAGAGGTCGAATGCAACAGAAAGAAAACTTCCAAAAAACCGGGGCTCTACCACCTGAACTTCTGCTGCTTCGCACTCTTCGCTTCATAATTGCGGACACTACAGATAACCGCGTCCTCTTCTTCTGCCAACCACCCAGAACCACCGCAAACCACGCAGCACCACACAACACCACCTACGACCGACAGAAAAAACTGCAGAGGAAAACAGCCCACACCTAACCACTAATTGCTTGGATAGTCTTAGTCACCGCTCTTGCTTTACCGCTAATTGCTTCAGCTGCTTCTGCCCAACCACACTCCACACAGCACCGCGTATAGCCAACAACGAAAACGAAATGCTGCAAGAAGCACCACACCTGACTACCACTGGTCGCTTGGACAATCCGAGTCACTGCTCTTGCTTGACAACAGAACGCTTCAGCTGCTCCTGCCCAACCACACTCCACCACACAGCACCGTGTACAGCCAACAACAGGAAACGAAATGCTGCAAGAAGCACCACACCTGACCACCGGCTGATGAACTCTGCATCCCTCTTGTTGCAACAAAGCCGCTATATCCCCTGCATCCTTTCTAGTCGCTTCAGCCACTCCTGCCCAACAGCGCAGCACCACACTCCACCACACAGCACCGTATACAACCAGCAACAGAAGAACGAAATGCTCGACGAAGCCCCACACCTGACCAGCAGCTAATACAGTCGTCCATCCCTCATTGCCACGAACCCACAACATCCTCTGCGTCCTCTGCCTCTCCTCTCCCTTCCCTGCATATCAACCCTCCACACAGCACCACACTCCACCACACAGCACCGTGTACAGCCAACAACAAACGAAATGTTGCAAGAAGCACAACACCTGACCGCCGGCTGATCAAGTCGTCCACCCCCCCTCGTTGCTGCGAGCCCACAATGCCCCGGCGTCCCCCGCCTCTCCTCTCCCTCCCGTCCACACAAAGTAGCACGGTACTAAGAGGAAAACTGCCAGTAGAAAACTACTACGGCTGCTACCTAGGAAACCGCTATATAGACAGCTGGAACCTAGAAAAAAACAACCAACGGAGCCTCTTGGCTAAAAAAACTGGTGCTATCTGAGACGACTGGACTACAGACAGTCAATGAGTATTGCAGAGACGTTTGAGGATTGAAAAGAGGTATATTCAACTAAGAACAAGGAGAATGAGAAGGGTGGAAGAACTAAGTGGCTGAGGAGTTGAGCTGAGGAGTCGTATCAGTTAAACAGTGTCCTCTAGATCAATCGAAAACAGTGTCATCAAGCTGAAAGGTGTCAAGTTAAGTTGAAAATCTGATCATATTGAGAGATGAAAGGCTCGTCTGGATGGTGCACTCGGTTGAATGTGATAATCCGTTTAGCAGGATTATTGGCTGGAATAAGAAGGTTTTTGGCTGACACGGCAGAGTAGTTAAGGTAAGCAACAATGGCAGGTTGACAGTCAAAACAGTTTGGCACTCAGAAAGGGTTTCAGTTGAGGTAAGAGTATGCCGTGCAGATGAGGTGAAAAGTATGGAGACGAAGTGATATTGACTGACTGACGAGTATGCAGGTGAACTGGCGTGATGAGGTTTGATTGAAAAGCACGACGTGACATGATTTGGCCGGAAGAGCAGTATGCAGATGCGGACAAGGTGGGTTTCACCAAACCAGAATATGAGCTGATGTGGTTTGACTGAAGACTGAGGTAGCATGACTTGGCCGAGGAGCAGTATGCAGATGGTGAATATGGTTTGACCAAACCGGAATAGGAGTTGCAGCAATCAGAAGTCCAGCAGAAGGGATTGAGCACAAGGGCGGCTAGAGGCTGAAGACGTTTCAGTAGCAGAAAGGCCAGCAGATGCCAAAACAGAAGGGCAATGGATATCCAGCCACCAGAGCAGCAGCTACAGCTACACAGCATCTCTCATCAGCTTGCCTGTCTTTTCCTGTCTTGAATGAATTCAATCCACCGAGCAATCGACCCGAGGCCTCCTGTTGCATTAGCTCCTGTGAGTAAGTAAGAAAAGACGAGACGGGGAGCCTCCACCAACAGCCACCAGCCACCAACAGCCTAGCAGAAGTAGGAACACCAGCTGACATTCAGCAGATACACAAGCAGAGACACCCAGCAGCCACACAGCTTCAACATCAGCTTGCCTGGTTTCATCACAGCTTCCCTCTTCAGCAGACCCCAACACGACCCGTACACCAACAGAAAGAGACAAAACGCAATAACTGCCACAACCACTCCGCCAACCACCGCCTATCATCCGCCTCTACCGCCAGCACAGCAACCTTCCGCGACCACAGCTTCCCTCTTCAGCAGACCCCATCAAGGAGAGAACACGTCACCACCACCCCGCCCACCACCGCCTATCATCTACCTCTACCGCCAACACAGCAACCCTCCACGATCACAGCTTCACCAACCAATGTTCCCACAAGCAACAGCGCCCACAGAACTGAAGACAACAGCACCGAACAGCAGCCCATGTAAACCCAGCAGAAGCAGAAACAGCCCCGGATTGCAAAGCAGGAACACACACCATGACGCAGCACTCTTCACGTCTTCAGGTACCCCTCCCAAATCAGCTGCCATAACGTTGACACTTCAGTATCACCCTCACTTCTTCGCTCCAGACTATTCTACCAGGCATCCTTAACCAAACCATCCTCTTGACCTGTCACAGCACACTTCTGATTTCTCACAACCAGCACCATCTAACTCAGCCGCTTCAACAAATCCTATCCTCCCTTCCTCTGCCACCTCCTGAAACCGCTACACTTCACACTGCAAGATGTACATTCTCACAAAAACCTCCCTACTCCACCACTCTCCACAACCACTTCTGTCAACTCTCACAGAACGTTCCAGACCATAATCAGAACATACCAATAGCCAAGGCCTGACCTACAGCTCCCTATGTCTACCTCGTTCCTCACATGAATCGTTCATCTGCACCTCCTCCACTCCGTGTACTCCATCCCATCTCAAACTCCCACAACAGACGCTAGCCCACTATCAGCCTCTCCACCTGACTCAGCCTGTCCACCTGTCACTACACACAACCGCCTCTAACCGCTCTCTTTCACACTTTTGACACTCCCAACTCGTAACCCCCAACCCGCAACAGAAGACGCGCGCAATGCTCGACTCTGCCCCACTCGTTCTGTGCCGCGTGACTCTCAGCCGACACCGTCGCTTGCTTGCAGTGTGTCCCACAGTGTGGTGTCTGTCTAGACATCCTTTCAGCCGCACCGTCCGTCCTCCCGTCGTTCTCATCCCAATCACAGCCCGTGGTTGCCCCTATTCAAACGCCAATGCACCCACAGCGTCCGACACTCAAAACCTGTGAAGAATGGAAGCGGGTTTCTCCACTGCAGCCTGTGGTTGTCCCAGCAGACGTGCAGACGCGGCAGCCACCCGTCCCCGGACGCCCCACACCCGTCCGCCGCGCACTCATCCGCCGTGCGCCACTCGCCTCCGCACCATGCGCCAGTTGCCCCCACACCATGCGCCATTCGCCTCCGCACCATGCGCCAGTCGCCCCCGTACCAGTCTTGTTCCCGTACTCGTTTCCCATCCGACCCATCATCACTTCAATCTGCACGACAATGGGGTTTGGCACTGCAGCCTGGTTGTCCCAGAAGACGTGCAGACGCAGCAGACCCACGCACCCCACGCCCGTCCGTCCTGCGACCATACGCCGCGCATCTTTCCGCCTTCCGCCTTCCGCCCATGCGCCACGCGCACCCGTCCGCAGCGCTCGCGTCTCGTGCGCGCATCCGCGCCTGCGCTCATCCGCGCTTGCGCTCATCCGCGCTTGCGCTCATCCGCGCTTGCGCTCATCCGCGCTTGCGCTCATCCGCGCTTGCGCTCATCCGCCAATCGCCTCCGCGACTGCCATCCCGTCACCGCGAGCGTCGTCCAGTCTACACCCAATCGTGTCTCAGAAGACACGCGCAATTGTAGCACACACTCGCCCTCGCTCGCTCAATCCCGTCCACGCTCGCCAACTGTCCGTCCGCCGAACGCCCGTCCACAGTGCAGTGCACGCACCCACGCCCATTCCGCTCGTCCTCCCAGCAGAATCTCAACAAGCAGACCCTCGCTGTCGCTCGCACAATCCCGCCCCAATTCGCGCATCACCCGTCCACTGAACGCCCGTCCACTTGAAGCCTGTCCACCATGCACCCACCCGCGCGCGTACCGTTCTGGTTGTCGTCCCATCACGAAAGAAGAGCAGACGCTGCAGACAAACCCACTCGCCACTCGATAACCTGCAAAAACAAACTGCGCTGTGTCTTCCCGTAGCAGCAGCCATACGCGCGTCACTCCATCCCACCCGTGTTCGCCAACCGCCGTTAGCCACCCGCCCACCGAAGTACCTCGCCCCTCCTGCGAGCTCGCCAATGCAGCCAATGGTGACCCAGCAGAAGTACCGAAGTGCCCCCGTGCCGAAGTGCCCACGTGCCAAAGTGCCCCCGTGCAGAAGACCCACGTGCCGAAGTGCCCCCGTGCAGAAGACCCACGTGCCGAAGTGCCCCCGTGCAGAAGACCCACGTGCCGAAGTGCCCCCGTGCAGAAGACCCACGTGCCGAAGTGCCCCCGTGCAGAAGACCCACGTGCCGAAGTGCCCCCGTGCAGAAGACCCACGTGGCGAAATGCCCCCGTGCCGAAGTGCCCCCGTGCAGAGGTGCCCACGAGCAGAGGTGCCCACGTGCAGAGGTGCCGAACTGCAGAAGTACCAACGTACGTCCCGCCAAAGTGCGAAGTGCCCCTGTGCCAACAGCATAAGCGCAGACGAAGTCGTGCGTGCAACTCCAGCCCACACCCAGCGAGTTTGCCTCTTCAAAAACCTGCAAGAGAAGGGGATTGGGTGGGTGTCTCCCGTTGCAGCCCGCGGTAGTCCCAGCAGACGTGCAGACAGCAGCCACTCGCCACTCGTCAATCCCGCTCGCGTTCGATCTCGCCCGCGTTTCCAGTCCGCACAACTGCGCTCGTCACTCGCACGCCCCCGCGCGTGCACCCTCGCGTGTATTCCCATTGTCGCAGCACCCTCCGTCCTGAAGCCGTGGCGACAGCAGAAACCCGCGCCTCACACTTGTCGCTTTCATACTTCCTTCTCACGACCTGCAAAGACAAGGGGATTGGGTGGGTGTCTTCCGTTGCAGCCCGCGGTTGTCCCAGCAGACGTGCAGACAGCAGCCACTCGCCACTCGCCAATCCCGCTCACGCTCGCGTCCGACCGATTTTCCGTCCACACCCGCTCGTCGCCCGCACGCCCCATCACGAGCATCCTCACGCATCTTCCCATCCGCTCGCGTTCACATCCAACTGCTTATCCATCCGCGCACCCGCTCGCGACCCGCACACCCCCGCACGTGCACCCTCAAGCGTCTTCCCGTTGCAGTCGAGAAGACGGCAGACATACGTGCGTCCCTCTCTCACGTCGCTCGCCCTCCACCGACCGCACTGTCACTTCCTTCTACTGCCTTCTCAAAGGACGACCTGCAAGAAAAAAGGGGTTGGTGGGTGTCTCCCGTTGCAGCCCGCGGTTATCCAGCAGACGTGCAGACAGCAGACACACGCCACTCGATTCCGCTCCCGTTCGCGTTCGCGTTCACGGTTTCCCGTCCGCATGCCCGCTCGCCGCCCGCACGCCCCCCGCGTGCATCCTCGCGTATCCCCATCCGCCCGCGTTCGCACTCGCCCGCGCCCGCGTTTGCATTCGCCCAGTTCACCATCCGCGCAACCGCTCGTAACGTCGCCCCACACCCTTGCGCGTTCATCCTCGTGTGTCTTCCCATTGCAGTCAAGCAAACGGCAGACACACGCGCGTCCCTCTCTCACATCGCTGGACCTCCATGGATCGCGCTTCATACTTCCTTCTCACGACCTGCAAGAAAAAGGGGGTATGTTGGGTGTCTCTCGCTGCAGCCGGCGGTTGTCCCGGCAGACGTGCAGACAGCAGACACACACGCGCGCGCGTTGCCCTGCGCCAACCTCCCCCCGCCGACGTCTCGCTCGCTCGTGCCCTGCACCGCCTTTCACCACTTCCGTCTCCGCTCGCGTCCTCCCGCCAACGCCCACGGTTGACCCAGCAGACGTGCAGAAGGCAGACGCGCGCCACTCAATACCGTTCCTCGCCCCACTCGTTCGTTCATCGTCCCTGAGTGTTCTTTCGAAACGTCTTTGCGTGTTTGTTTCTTCATCCTGCAAGAAAGGGGGGGTGCGTGTGTCTCGTGGTGCAGCCTGAAGTTGTCCCAGCAGACGTGCAGACAGCAGACACACGCGTCGTTTCTGATTCTCCCGCTCGCTCGTTTCTCGCCAAGAACTTCGCTCCACCTCCGCACGCGTCTTCCCATCAGGGCCCGCGGTTGTCCCAGCAGACGCGCAGACAGCAGACGCACGCCACTCCGTAACGCCGTACACGCCCCTCACGCGTTCACCACTCGAGCCCGAACCCTCGTGTCTTCCCATCAGCGCCCGCGGTTGTCCAACGGACGTGCAGACAGCAGACACGCGGCCTCCCATGCAGAGCGTTCGCTTCTCAACCTGCAAACGAAAGGGGAATCGCGAGTGTCTCCTGTCGTCGCCTGTGGTTGCCCCAGCAGACGTGCAGCCAGCAGACACACGCGGCACTCGCTCGCGTTCGCGTTCGCCCGCACACCCGTGTTGCAACCATCCGTTCTTCCCAGCAGCCACACAACCGCCAGTTTCTGCCTCCTCATGTGTCGTCCCGCCACAGCCGGTGGTTCTTCACGCAGCCGTGCGTGAAGCAGACACATGGCGCGCCAATAGTTGTTCATGCCCCGTCCAACACCCCGCACTTGGGCCCAAAAGTTTAACCTGCAAACACGAACGCCTTTCATGTGTCTTCCCTTCGCGGCCGGTGGTTCTTTACGCAGCCGTGCAGACAGCAGACACATGGCGCGCCGATTGCTTGTGTTGTTCCGTCCGTTCTGCACCCCGCGCTAACCACCCCTTGTCGACTCGCTTGCGTTCGTTCAGCAGAAATTGTTGACCCGACAGACGCACCCCGACAGCAGAAGGCTTGTCTCAGCAGTGCAGCCTACCCTCTTCCCAGCACGCTCTCTCCCTGCCCTGGACGCACAGAATAGCACGGAGCAACACACAGCAACGGCAAGAGCCAACAACAACCACCTGCCTAGTCTCCTCCCTATCCCATTAGCACCTACAGTTTGAGAAAGCACAAGCAAGAGGAAAGCGGACTAGAACTCTGCAAAACTCATTGTCTGATATATACGCTACGGCCTGGAATAGCACACCGACATAAAACTCACTATCTGGTATGTGCGCAACAAACTAGAACTTCAGGGCACACAAACACAAACCTCCAGACACACCGTTACAGGACAGGCGGAGTCTACTCGGAACGAAGGGCGACAGGCAGTAGACGTGTAGACGGCAGTAGACGTGTAGACGGCAGTAGACGTGTAGACGGCAGTAGACGTGTAGACGGCAGTAGACGTATAGACGGCAGTAGACGTGTAGACGGCAGTAGACGTGTAGACGGCAGTAGACGTGTAGACGACAGCAGACGTGTAGACGACAGCAGACGTGTAGATGGCAGTAGACGTGTAGACGGTAGTAGACGCGTAGACAGTAGTAAACACGTAGACGGCAGTAGACGAGTGGCCGGACGAGTAGACGGAGGTAGACACGTAGACGGAAGTAGACACGTAAGCAGAAGAAGACGAGCAGAGGGAAGTAGACACGTGCAGACCGAGGTGACGGAGGTGTTAGAAGCAAACACACGAAGAGCGCGGGCGGGGAGAAGACGCAGGTAGAGATGGCGCAGGGCGGGTAGGGATGACGCAGGGAGAGTGAGGGCAAGAAGAGCGGCACATCAAAGCAGCCTGGACGGGGGGGTTGACTGGCAGGGGAAGAGACGCGGAGACAACACAGGTAATGGGGCCAGGGGGGCCCGGGGGAGGGGAGGGGAGGGGACGAGGAGGAGGAGCACCAACCACAACAGTCAAGGAACGCCTAAGAGGGAAGGGAAGAAAAAGGAGAAACGCACTGCAGGATCAAACCACAAGCCCAGGGACCTTGGTGGAGAGAAAGCGAGAGCAGAGGCGGCAGGGGAAGCGTACGAGACCGCAGAGGAGCGCAGGGATGAAGCAACGGTTGGGAAACACGTGGCAGTAGCTAACGCGACGCAGGAAGCTTAGCAAACCAGGAGCGCGAGCAGAGGCGGCGGAAGAAGAGAAGAAAACTTAGGAGCACAACCTGCGGGAAAGCAACGAGGGGAGGCTACAGGAGGAAGGAAGAGAGAACAAGTTATGGGCCCAGGGGGGCCCAGGGAGGGGGAAGGGGGAGAGAGGGGAGCGCCAACCAGGAGAGGGACCAAGGCAAGGAAGACAAGCCAAGAGCACCGACGTCTAGAGCATTGACGAGGACTGGAACACTAAAGAGTCACAACGGTTGGGGAACCTTAGGAGTAGCAACGAGGCTGAACGACAAGGGACGGCCAAGGGACCAAGGGAGAGATGGAGGAACGCGGCCTGTGGGGGCGAGAGCGGTGTGGCTTGGAGAGCAAGGGAAACAGACACAGGTTATGGGGCCAGGGGGCCCGGGGGGGGGAGGGGGGGACAGGAGCGGGGAACGCCAACGAGGAGGCTAGGAGGACTCGACGCAACAAGACGATGGACGGAGCTGCAATGGAGCGAGACAATAACGGGTCAGCAGAGCACGGAGGAAAGCGAGAAACCTGGCGAGGAAGAGCGGAACACCTGAAGTCTTAGGGACAACCGACCGCAGGGGAAGGCGGCCTGTGGGGACACGCGCAGTGTGGCTACACGAGGGAAAGAGGAACGAGACACAGGTTACGGGGCCAGGGGGGCCCAGAGGGGAGGGAGGGGGGACGCCAACCAGGAAGAGCGCACGTGTAACGGAACGAGTGAAACGAGACCGCGCCTACAGCCTAGACGAAGGGTCACAGGGAAAGGACGCAGCTAATGGCGAGGGGCATACTAAAAACAAAAGAAACGCGAAGGTGGTTACTACAATCAACCACACCGACCGTTCAGCGTCCGCAGTGGGCTGTCTGTTCTTGAGAAGTTTATGGGCCAATAAGCGAGGAGAACTAGTCGCAGACACCTGATGTGCTGCTGGTAGGGACTAACAGATCGGATGGGGGCAGAAGAGGAAAACTCAAACCCCAGGGCCCCCAAAGGGGATGGGGAGGGGGGGAGGGGACCGAGAGGCAACAAGCCTGGCACTGACGGAGCAACCAAGAAAACTTTAATCCGAGACTGTGACGGAACGAAGTCATCAGTTAAACGTAGACGTAAAAAACGCACACCAGCACAGAGCTACAGCTACCCGGTCTTTCATGAGCAATCTCCGTCACGTGCTGCGAAGGGCCGCTCGTACCGAAGGCTAACTCGGACGGCGTCTGTCCGCCAGCCTGCTGGCATGGAACGGACTATGGGGACGGAGGGAGGAGGAAAACTGAAACCCCAGAGCCCCCGAAGGGGATGGGGAGGGGGGGGAGGGGTGCGAGAAGCAGCAAGCCTGACACCAGCGAGCCTGACACATACGAGCAGCAACGCAAGGTCAACGACACGGTAAGGACTCTCGAAGAAATCGCAACGGCCATCGAAACGTAACAAGTCACAGCACTAGCTACCCGATCGGCCCATCAATGGCTGGATGAATTTCAAGCGTGTCACGTGGTGTGTGGCGCGTGGTGCTCGATGTCAAGCGTGTCACTCAGCCTGCTGTGCTGCTGGCAGGGCAACGGAGCAAGACCAAGAAGAACACGAGATGTTTTGAAGCCCCAGAGCCCCCGGAGGGGATGGGGTGGGGTGGGGGGCAGACGAAGTAAGACCAGCTAGCGGAAACGCACGCAAGAGCGCGGGAAGACGCAGTATCGACACGGGACCATTCAAAGACGAAAAACGCAGGTAAGGTGACCGAACGCGGGGGAGCTGGCCTAGATTTGACGGTAGACAGAAGCGACGGCTGTGCACGACCTCTCGAAGCAACTGCGACGAGTTGGTTGTAAAGGAAATAAATTCACGCGTCCGTCATACTATGCTGCTTGTAGGGAAACAACAGCCACACAGCAAAAGGCAGCAGAAAAAAGGTGAAAGCCCCAGAGCCCCCTTGGGGGGATGGGGTGGAGGGATGAGCACCCGGGCAGGAACTGGACGGAACCGTGGTAGAAACACCACCTGTTACCGGAGTGCGTAAGAAACAGAACCTTCTGCAAGTGATATCTCCATAGTCATGTCTGCGCTGTCTGGGAGGGCTGCAGCTGCTGTCCCAATAAGGAGCTCATAACGGGTTACTGCTAGTTCGCGAGTTGAATGATGTCTGGAGACGAATCCTGTCAAGCAGAGAGAGGGATGCGACGGATAGAGCCAGCAAGGCAATCCCACCCTACGACTTCGTTTCGCCTTTGCCTTGAGACCTGCAGACTACAAAACAATTACAGACAAGCAGAAGCTGATCCCCCCAAGACTACCAGATTCGTTTCAAAACTCTCCGAAGTCCTGCTTCATCCCTCTTAGCTGCTGACAGCAAAATAACAAACACAAACATTTTGACCCCGCGAAGTGCGCGCACACAGCCCCACCCCTTCACAGCCTGCGTAAGAGTAGAAACATGTCACAATCCTAAAAGCGTAGTCGTCTTTACATACGCACATATAGACATACATCACAATTTTAACCTGACTCTCCACAAGCGGATACATCTTATATAACCAATATAACCTTCCATCTCACGTATATATTTCAGAATACAAAGACGGGCAGCGGACGGCCCACTCATTCGAATAGTTCAGAAGTCTCGACCTTCCAACTCGTATGCTGAATAAATCACGCGCTTCGCACGGACCCTTCGCTCTTCAAGACGCTCACGACGGTATCACGACCGATATAAAACTCTTCCACGGAAAATACGATACGCTCAAACTGTGCCAAAATATCGCGGACATAGCGAACCTAGGGCGAACGGTGACAAGCCCTTCGTGTTCTCTAAAGCGTCGACAGCCCTTGCGGGATTCGAGGACGTGTAAGTATCCAGCTGACTTCGAAAACGAGCCTCATGATTCAAACTGACGACGTCAAATTTGCCACCAAGTTCAACAGTCACACAGTAACCTCAACCGAACGAATAGGACGACCACACGGCCCATAGAGTACTGGAACCACGGGACTCTGTACCAAGTAACTCAGACGCCATCAACAAATCACGGACACCTAACCAAGAGATCATCATCACGGCGTATTGCTCACAGCCAGATGAACCCAAGGTAGCGCGTCACGAGACGTTGGCCTGGCAGTCCGCTCTGATGCCGTCCATCCGAACCACGGCAGTGCTGTGAAACGAAATCAAGAAACCAAAACTGTACAGGAAGAAATGAGGCCACCTTGCTCAAGAAATGGAGCTGTGGGATTCCCAAGAACGGGATGGGAGGGAAGGAGGGTGTAGATGGGGGGTGAATAATCTTGGGTGGGGGGACTTTCTTGCGATGCTTACTTGGCGACGCCGGCGACCACGGTTCTTGCTTCCAGACCACTCAAGCCTTATCTCGAACATTCGTGATTGGAAAGAGCAGCCCCGATTGGTCGAAATTGATGTGGATAACGCACCGCTGGCCTCGGGATTTGCTGCTCTGGTAATTGTGGAACCAGTCCCGTTGCGTCACTAGCGAAACCTTCATGGTGCTTGTGTCGCTGAGCCAATCCCATCAGGCGAAACGCGCTGAGCGGTGCAAGACAGACTGGCACCACCAATCTGACGAAGCGGTATGCGAAGAGGACGGTGGCGGTGGTATGTTCGCGAACTGTCGTGCACGTGATGGAAAACAGAGAACGCGTTCGAGTGGTTGGTTCCATCATACATGCACAGTGCATGCTGATAGGGAGGACCTTCCCTCGAGGTGATGGTACATCGAATGCACATGAATCGAGTCAACAGTAACGTTTGAACATGACTATGTGACGTGACGAACCACTCCTTTTGTGTCACTGGCATGACAGCATTACGAAATCGAGCATGCCATGAGTCAGAAGCGTGCTGGACTACGTGGCATCTGCCCCAATTGCCTCAGCCCACATGATGCTGACCATACTTCACGTGTTCCCCTGCCAGTCAAACCCGTTACTGTACGAGCCTGTTCTGTGAATTTCACCCAAGGATCATGTACATGTATGTTTCTGAGTTGCTGGGTTGCTTCTAAGATCAATTTTGTTACAGCCTTATGTATTCATACTAACATGCGCACATGCTACATGGTTCATTTAAGTTGATTTTAAGCGAGAATGCCATATGTAAGAGCATGCGGTTTCACATTAATCTGCACTGATACGAGCATATCAATGCTTGTTGACGTACTAAACGTCCTTGACTGAATCACGACTATCTTGCCAAATCCGCCCCATAAATGAGTGGGGAGTATGCAGGTACCCATGTGCGCTTCTCCACCTGCTTCCTTAAACCCTCCTGCTCAAGATGCAATTTCCACCCAAGATTCACAATGCAAAACACCATGAGCATATGAAGTGAATGTGGTAACATGGTGTCATAAGGTGTGCATGGGTCGGATCAGCATGTACATACCTCGGAGAGCGTCAGCAGCTGATCGGCATGCAGGCTGGGAATGCCCTCAGCTAATCCCTCCTCTGCTGCCTTGCGAGCCACGGCCACTGCGACGTGTGATGTGATGTCGCGAATGCTGGGGGATGGAGAGGAAGGGTGGCAGGATGTCACCTCGCTGGATCAGTGGAGAGCAGTGGTAACCTTTCCATTCTCGTATAGCGATGGGAAGGCAGATAGGCCAAGCTCAAAGGGTACGTTGAAATGGAATGGGCTCACTAATCGACATACCTGGATAGTGACGGGAATAGAATGCCTTTCTTGACGTCATCGTCTGAAATATAGTGCGCCACCCTGGGAGGGCAGTGGAGCCGGGGGAAAATGGGAGAGAGGGGCAAGGGGAGGAGGCGGCAAGAGGGGCAGGATAGAGGCAGGAGATGGGAAAGGCGAGAGTAGGACGAGACAGAAAGTACAAGAGCAGAGCGCTGCCTCATGCGCCCGCTCATCCTTCTTGGCAGGCAAAGTGTGGCTAAAGGTGTCGATCATTCCGCTATCATTCCATTCCACGCACAAGCGATCTTTCAAGGCAGGCAGAGTCGGGGTTACTGATGAGGTGGTTGCTTCATGATATGAAGTTCATATGACAGCATTTCACTTGCTGCCTGAACCCTGGACTTCCTTCTTTCGAATCCAACTCAAATGTTGGCTGCACAGCACAACTGCACTCGTGGGATATTTTTATGAGGCACCCGATGCGCACATGTAAGTCGACTCAGACTCACTCGTTGGCTGCCGCGTGGATCATCCCTTCAGACACCAGGCGCGCGCCTGATAGCAGTGCCCCGGCCGCAATGCTGGGGATGCGAAGCGGTGGGATGGGATGGGGAGCGGTATGGGGAGCAGTGGGATCGGATGGGATGAGATGAGGGAGGGGGAACACACGAGGGGGAGGGGGGCGTAAAAGTATTGTGTATGTGTGTGTGTGTGTCTGCGTGTGCGTGTTGGAGAGGAGGGGGCAGGGTGGCGATGGGTATGAGTGGCATGAGGTTGGGGTGCAGGGGGTTGCAGTGCGAGGTGACATGCTCTGGGAAGAGGAAGATGTGGTTTTCCATGGGTGGTTTGGCGGTGGAGGTGGTGGTGGTGGTGGTGGTGGTGGTGGTGGTGGTGGTGGTGGTGGTGGTGGTGGTGGTGGTGGTGGTGGTGGTGGTGGTGGTGGTGGTGGTGGTGGTGGTGGTGGTGGTGGTGGTGGTGGTGGTGGTGGTGGTGGTGGTGGTGGAGGTGGTGGTGACGGTGGAGGTGGTGGTGCAAGGGAGAGGCGGCCTACCCTGGGAAGAGGAAGATGTGGTTCCCCTGGGTGGAATGGCCGATCTTGCACATGAGGTACCAGGGATTCTCACCCATGGGGACGAGCAGCAAGGGGGATTCCTTTTAGCAGTAGTCAGAGGAGGGTAAGGTGAGATGGCTTACCCTGGAAAGAGGAAGATGTGGTTGCCCTGGGTGGAATGGCCAATCTTGCCATCCGCTGGTGTGGCAACACAGCACAGCAAGCACACAGAAAACAGCACATGGCACAAAAGGAACCGAGAAGGTGCGTGTGAAGGGGAGATGTTCAGGGGGGAGACATTTGGGGGGCGCATGTTGGGAGAAGGTGCGTGTGAAAAGGAGATGTGTAGGGGGGAGAATTTGTGGGGCGCAGGTTGGGAGAAGGTGCGTGGGAGACGATTAGGAGGGAGACGTTTGTGGGTCGCAGGTTCGGAGAAGGTGCGTGTGAAGGGGAGACGACATGAAGGCCAAAGGTGGATTAGCCAAGTCTGTGGCAATAGAAGCTGAGAGATGGCGAGAAGCTTGCAAAAGGAAGAACAGGGGCATTCGACATGACATCTGGTGACAATCACCATTGGGTGGAGTGGCACGGGCAAGGGTTATAGGGGTGGATATACAATACGAGGGGATGTGAAGGAGGAGGGGATATGATGAGTAAGGAGAGGCACTTATGAGTCGACTCTAAAGTCCTGAGTAAGGAGAGGCACTTACGGAAGCGCACTGAGGGGTAGCTGACTCCGGAGAGGAAGAGGGCGTTGGGACCCACTGCTTCAAACGCCTGCTGTGCCGTGCACTCCGCTGGTTAGGGGAGGAAATGGAGGAGAGGGACAGAGAGTTGTAATATTGAGAGGACCGCACGGCTTGCTGCGGTTCGAATCCTTCTTTACTCTGAAAGAAAGAGGGAGGGTGTTGGAGGGCGTTGTGAGACCTACAGCTTCAAGCGCTTACAGTGCCTACTGCAACGCACTGTGGCTGGCAAGACAGGGCAAAGGCAGGAGTCTCAAGAAGTATCACCTTCTGACACGGTTCCTAAGGCCCTTGAACAACTCACAGTGGCTGGCAGGGCAGGAGAGAGGCCGGATAGCAGGCCGCAGCACGCCCTTGTCAAACAGGTGGTGCTTGCCCGACAGCCCAAACAGCACAGCTGTGCATCACCGTGACTGACTGGCAACCAAGGAACTCACAGTGGTTGGCAGGAAAGGAGAGGGGCAGGATGGCAGGACGGGGCACGCCAGAGTTCTTGACAGCACGCAGCACGTCCTTGTCAAACAGGTGGTGCTTGGCCAACCATTTCCCACCGCACAGCACCGATTTGAACTCACAGGGAGATGAGTGTTCGTGACAGCTCGCAGCACGTTCCTTGTCAAACAGATGGTGCTTCCCCGATAGCCCACAGAGCACAGCCGTGCATCACCGTGACTGACTGGCAACCAAAGGAACTCACAGTGGTTGGCAGGACAGGAGAGCGGCAGGATGGCGGGGCGGGGCACTCCACTGTTCTTCACAGCTCTCAGGACGTCCTTGTCAAACAGATGGTGCTTGGCCAACCATTTCCCACCGCACAGCACCGTTTTGCACTCACAGGGAGATGAGTGTTCTCGACAGCCCTCAGGTCGTCCTTGTCAAATAGATGGTGCTTGCCCCACAGCCCAAACAGCACAGCCGTGCATTACCGTGACTGGGCTTACAGGTCAAAAGGGTTGGTTTGAGAACAAATCACAGTGGTTGGCAGGACAGGAGAGCGGCAGGATAGCAGGCCGCGGCACTCCACTGTTCTTCACAGCTCGCAGCACATCCTTGTCAAACAGATGGTGCTTGCACGACAGCCCAAACAGCACAGCCGTGCATTACCATGACTGGCAACCAAAACAACTCAAGGGCAACTCACAGTGGTTGGCAGGGCAGGAGAGGGGCAGGATGGCAGGGCGGGGCACGCCACTGTTCTTCACAGCTCGCAGCACATCCTTGTCAAACAGGTGGTGCTTGCCCGACAGCCCAAACAGCACGTGCGGCTGCACCGCCTTGATCACCGCTGCCAGGTGCGCCCCCTCCTGCAGCCCGCCCTCCTCCCGTGCTTCTGCTTCCGGCCTCAGGAAGGGCCGCAGCTGGTTGGGTACTGCGCCCCTGGCTTCGGTCATGAGGCCCTGAGAGGGGGAGAGAGGAGAAGGAAACGAAAGAACAACGTTCCTCAGCTGGTTTGGTACGGCGCCCCGCGCTTCAGTCATGAGGGCCTGGGTTGGGGCTGGGAGAGAGATGGAACAGGTGGTGCTTGCCCGACAGCCCAAACAGCACGTGCGGCTGCACTGCCTTGATCACCGCGGCTAAATGGGCGCCCTCCTGCAGCCCCCCCTCCTCCCACGCCTCTGCTGCCGGCCTCAGGAAGGGCCGCAGCTGGTTGGGTACTGCGCCCCTGGCTTCCGTCATAAGGCCCGCATTCCACCGCATCTCACTCCCACGCACCTTGTTATCCACGATCCAGAAGTTGCGAGCAGCCTGCAGGTAGCTGTGCTTGCTCTCTCCCAAATGCGCCACCATCGCCTTTTGAAGTGCTGTCAGCATGCCCTGCACGGCACTGCACCGTGGGAAGAGACAGAAACGGTAGTTGATTTCACATGTCAAATACCACATCACATGTGACAGCATCACCATCTGTAGCACTACCAGCATGGATTTTGAGTCGACTCAAAAGTCACCTTGTGATACCATCATCATCTGTAGCACTACCAGCATACCCTGCACCACAGTACATGGTAGGGAGTAATGTGGAAACAGCAACAAAAAGAAAAACAACAAACAACAACATCAATTGTGAGCATTCGTGAAAAAAAACCTATATATTCAGCCCACTGTTGTTGTGCTCACAGCCACACGCTCACCTGCCTGCCTGTCTCCCAACCCAAGCCACACGCACCTGCCAGCGCCCGTGACAACCATTCTGCAGTTGGACAGCTCGCCGGGAGTGCCCAGAGCTACGTGCTCTCCCCTTTCTGCCCCTCCCAACCCACATGCACCAGCCTGACCCACACGCACCTGCCAGCGTCAGTGACAACCATTCCGCAGTTGGCCAGTTCATCGGGAGGCAGCTCCTGCGCCCTCAGCACGCTGGTCACTGTAACCACAGCCGGGCCCCACTATTGCTGTTGTTGTTGTGTCCAAAAGAGCAGACGCACCCCCTTCAGCCCCTCCCAAGCTGCACGCACCTGCCTGCACCGGTCACAACCATTTTGCAGTTCGCCAATTCACTGGGAGGCAGCTTCTGCGCCCTCAGCACGCTGGTCACCGTAGCCACAGCCGGGCCCCACTATTGCTGTTGTTGTTGTGTCCAAAAGAGCAGACGCACCCCCTTCAGCCCCTCCCAAGCTGCACGCACCTGCCTGCACCGGTCACAACCATTTTGCAGTTCGCCAATTCACTGGGAGGCAGCTCCTGCGCCCTCAGCACGTTGGTCACCGCCGCCACAGCCAGCCCCCACTGTTTTTCTTTTGAGAAGAACAAATTCTCTTTGTGCCCCTCCCAACCCACACACACCTGCCTGCGCCGGTCACAACCATTTTGCAATTCGCCAGTTCACTAGGAGGCAGCTCCTGCGCCCTGAGCACGTTGGTCACCGCCGCCACAGCCAGCCCCCCCGTGCCCTGGATGTCGTCATTGAACGTGCGATACTGGTGCCTGTAGCGGTCCATGAGCACGTGCGCCCACTTGCGCTCCATGTCCTCGAACTGGATGGGTAGTGGGTTAGGTGGAGTGGCAGAGAGATGGATAGGGAAGCACACTGCACTGACACCTACAGCCAGCCTCTACCCGTGCCCTGGATGTCGTCGTTGAACGTGCAGTACTGGTGCCTGTAGCGGTCCATGAGCACATGCGCCCACTTGCGCTCCATGTCCTCGAACTGGGGGTGGAGGGGAGGAGATAGAGGGGGGCAGTGGCAGAGGGTCAGTGGTGGTGATGAGCTGTGCGGCACTGCATCCTGTACCGGTCCATGCGCACGTACGCCCACTTGCGCTCCATGTCCTCAAACTGGCATGGCGATGTGGGCGCCTGTGAATGGGTATGGGACACAGACGGTTGGGTGGATGGAAGCAGGGGTGCAGAGGTGTGAAAGGCGGTACTGGTGCCTGTAGCGGTCCATCAATATCCAACAATATACGCACCCACTTGCGCTCCATGTCCTCAAGCTGGCATGGCGTTTTAGGCGGGGCGCATGGGAATGAGGCGCAGATGGTTGGGTGGATGGAAGCAGGGGCAGAGGCAGAGAGCAGGTGTGAATGAGACGCGGTACTGGTGACGATAACGTTGGGCCAGCGGGCGGTGACGGCCTGCATGAACGAACTCGTCTGTTGAGCTCCAGATAGACCTCTCCGTCTATTGAGGTGCCTCACCACTCGCCTGGCACCAGCACATCCTGGTCACCGCACGCACCTGGACAATAACGATGGGCCAGCGCGCGGTAACGGCCTCCATGAACCCATCTATGAGCTCCAGGTAGCCCAGGCCCAGTGGGCGGTGACTGCACTGCCTGGCAACAATGACATTGGGCCAGCAGGCGGTAAGCGGTAACCGCCTCCATGCATTCGTCTGTGAGCTCCAGGTAGCCCTGGCCCAGCTGGCAGTGAGTGCTGCACTGCCTGGCACGAGCACTGTCTGACTGGCAATGACAGTCCACACACGCGTGAACAATGACATACCTGGACGATAACATTAGGCCAGCGGGCGGTAACCGCCTCCATGAACTCGTCTATGAGCTCCAGATAGTCCTCCCCGTCTATGCGCGGATGGCGCAGGCCCAGGTCTGCACACAGGTACAAACGTGGAGATGAATCAGGCGAAGACAAGAGGGGGATAAGGGGGGATGAGGGGGTGGAGGGGGACGAGGGGGGGTGAGGGGGAAAAGGGGGACAAGGGGAAGAAAGAGTACATGAGGAGGGAGGAGTTTCTTTGATGTTATTATCAAATCCCACATTGAAAGCGGGTGAGAGTCGACTTGAAAGTGTTCAGTAGACAAAGCCTACGAGGGCTATGAGGGGTGCGGCGGGTACAAGGGCTACGAGGGCTATGAGGGGTGCGGCGGATACAAGGGCTACGAGGACTTACAGAGTGGGTCCTTCATGAGCTCGCTGTTGTTGGTGCCCACATCGAAAACGACAGGCAGCACCTGCGGTGTGGGGCGGGTGAACCAGGGAGGAGAAAGAGAGAAGACGAGAGGAGAAGGGTAAAGAAGGAACGGAACGGCCAGGTTATTTAGTGACCCCTGGTTTGTACGCCACCGACAAGACAAAAAAGGAGGCGGGTGAACCAGGTGGAAGAGAAACGGATCTCTTCCACCTCCAGATCTCTTCCACCTCCAGATCTCTTCCACCTCCAGATCTCTTCCACCATGCGGAGCCAGGCGGATCCTTTATCTCCCTCTTTCCTTCGTTTCCACACTCCCGCTTTCTCTCCCTCTCCCACTCACCCCAACCACCTTAGAGGCAAGCACCTTAGAGGCGAGCACCTTAGAGGCAAGCACCTTAGAGGCAACCGGCGCTGATGCCACCTCTTTACCTCCCTCCTATGCGCTCCAGTGATCCGCTCTCTCCTCTGTCAGCCCCCCTCTCCTCTGGCAGCCCCCCTCTCCTCTGGTCATCCGCGTTTTTCCTAAACGTCTCCCACTCCCACCCACTCACCCGGTTGGGGTTGATGCCGGCAGCAGCCACGTACATGACCAGCATCCCCACTGGCCCTGCCTTCAGCTCTCTTATCCCTCCCTCGCTCTCCAGTGCTCCCCTCTCTGCTCCGGTCGTCCCTCTGTCCTCTGCTCCCTCTTCCCTTTCTCGCCCTCCCACCCACTCACCCGGTTGGGGTTGATGCCAGCAGCAGCCACGTACATGTCCAGCTTCCCCACCGGCGCCGACACGGCCTGCACGCCACAGTCGCCCACTCCCAGCACTCTGCTGCCATCCGTGATCACTATGATATCCACCTGGGTGGGATTGTGAGCGGTGCAGTAGGGTAGAGAGGTAAAGGACAGAGATATCAGCTTCCCCACCGGTGCTGACACGGCCTGCATGCCACAGTCCCCCACGCCCAGCACCCTGCTGCCATCCGTGATCACTATGATGTCCACCTGAGGGAGCAGGTAAGGGAGAGTGGGTAGGGGAGGGTGAGAAGGGAAGAGTAGGGGTGTGGCGGTGGTGAGACAATCTCCCTGCATGCCACACCACAGTCGCCCACGCCCAGCACCCTGATAGATACCGTCCGTGATCACTATGATTTCCACCTGGGAGGGCGGGGGTGGGTAGGTGGGATCGGGTAGAGGGGGGTTGAGTAGGAAAAAGTAGGAGCGTGGTGGTGAGACAAATACAACTAGCCATGTCATTGTGACGGTTCGCGCTGAAGTACCCGCTTCTTCGCAACCACTGCACCTGTTCCCACAGCACATTCATTCGGCTTGTGTTGTGAACAAACGCACACTGAAACACCATGTCTGCACTTACTGCTCATACGTGATCGGACGGCCAGTTGTGCACCATGGAGGCCATCTCGCCCTGGTCGTTGTTTGCGCTGAAGTACAAGCTTTCTTGCCACCACTGTACCTGTTCCTGCAGAACATTTCTATGACAGTTCGTTCGCACTTTCATTATCTCAAACACGACACATGCTTACATGGTCTGACGGCCAGTTGTGCACCATGGAGGCCATCTCGCCCTGGTCGTTGGCGCTGAAGTACATGCCCCGGGGGCGGCGGTGTATGTACCCGCTCCTACAGTACATTTCATTCACGTTTTACATGTACATAAAAACAAACACCACGCGCGCACTCACATGGTCGGAGGGCCAGTTGTGCACCATGGAGGCCATCTCGCCCTGGTCATTGGCGCTGAAGTACATGCCCCGGGGGCGGCGGAAGAGGGAGGCGTAGCGCTGGCACACCATGCCCACCGTGGGCGTGTAGACAATGCGCGACATCTCCTCTATGTTGTCCATCAGGATCTGATGGAGTGGGAAGGGGGAAGGGAAGAGGGGCAGAGGGGGGGGGATGACGGATGGAGCGTGGGAAGGAGTGTGATGAGAGGAGGAACTTGAACTGCCGGCACACCATGCCCACGGTGGGCATGTAGACGATGCACGACATCTCCTCTATGTTGTCCATCAGGATCTGATTAGTTGAGAAGAGGGGAGGGTGGGAAGGGGAGAGGGTGACCTTCGGAGCATGGCAGGAAGGATGATGGGAGGAGGGATACGATCGGCTGGCACACCATGCCCACGGTGGGCGTGTAGACGATGAGCGACATCTCCTCTATGTTGTCCATCAGAATCTGATGAGGTGGGGGGGGGGGGGGAAGGGAAGAGGGGCAGAGGGGCAGGGATGACGGATGGAGCGTGGGAGGGAGTGTGATGAGAGGAGGAACTTGAACTGCCGGCACACCGTGCCCAGGGTGGGCGTGTAGACGATGCGCGACATCTCCTCTATGTTGTCCATCAGAATCTGATGAGTGGAGGGGGGGGGAGAGGAGGGGAGCTGGGTAGGGGCAGAGGGATGCCGGACGGAGCGTGGGAGGGAGGCGTAATGCTGGCACACCATGCCCACGGTGGGCGTGTACTCAATGCGCGGCATCTCCTTTATGTTGTCCATCAGGATCTGATAGGAGGAGGAGCAAGGGGGAACAGAGGGGAGGGGCAGAGAGGTGGGCTTTGGAGCATGGCAGGGAGCACGATACAAGCTGCCGGCACACCATGCACACGGTGGACATGTAGACAATGCGTGACATCTCCTCTACATTGAGGGTGGGAAGGGGAGAGGGGTGACCTTCGGAGCATGGCAGGGAGGATGATGGGAGGAGGGATACGATCAGCTGGCACACCATGCACATGGTGGCCATGTAGTCGATGCGTGACATCTCCTCTACATTGAGGGTGGGAAGGGGGGGTTGGGTAGAGGGATGACGGGCGGAGGGGGAAGGCATGACGGATGGGGAGCATGAACGCTCCTATACGATGGGAAGGAATCTTCAGAATGGACAGGGATTCAGATTGCTGGAGCGTCTTCACTGCAGCCTGAGTCCACTGTGGTCCACCTCAGCGGTACACACAGGGCCACCACCCCGCACCTTGTTACAGTCACACCCACTATCGCTCACTAACTACAGTCACACCACACTCATACCCGGAAATACAGAGTCTCGTTGCGGTCGTGCAGGCAGTTGAGGATGCGCCACTTCTGCAGGTCCATGGGGTCGTCCGACATGCTGGTGGGGCAGAGGTCCCACCACACATTCCTCACCTCGTTACAGTCACACATACCGTCAATACGGTCACACCAAACGAACTCATACCCGGTAATACAGAGTCTCGTTGCGGTCGTGCAGGCGGTTGAGGATGCGCCACTTCTGCAGGTCCACGGGGTCGTCAGACGACCTGGGCTTGCGTTCAATGGCCTCGTACTGCCGCACTGGGGGGGGGGGGAGGGGGGGTGTGGAAAGGAATGGAAGTGGAATGGAACGTAGACAAGGTCGAGAAGTGACTGTAGGTTCATTCTACGATTGCGGTGCAGTGAGGTGGTGTGAGCAGATCCTTTATGCTCAACACCGTGGCAAGAATGGTGCTTCAAAGCATCCTATACGTACGAGGGTGTACTCGCTGAACTGCTGCATTTGTTCCTCCATAATCTGGTAACCCGGTGGGAGAAGGTCCCTCATTTGAAGGGCCTCAAAAGTCACTCTATAACGCGTACGAGGGTGTACTTACTGAATTGCTGCATTTCCTCCTCCATGGTCTGGTGACCAGGCGGAAGAAGGGCCCTCATTTGAAGCGCTTCAAAAGTCACTCTATAACGCGTACGAGGGTGTACTTACTGAACTGCTGCATTTGCTCCTCCATGGTCTGGTAACCCGGCGGAAGAAGGGCCCTCATTTGAAGCGCTTCAAAAGTCACTCTATAACGCGTACGAGGGTGTACTTACTGAACTGCTGCATTTGCTCCTCCATGGTCTGGTATCCCGGCGGAAGAAGGCCTCTCAGCCCCAAGCGATCACGCTCTGGCGCCTCGAATGCCGTGTGCTGCGGGGAGACGAGGGAGGGCAAAGAGTGGGAAATATGATCAGTTACGAATGCTTTCTCTCACGAGAGACGATGGATGGTAGTGTACTGCTACGCGTCGGAGCAGCGAACGACGAGAGCAACACCATACGAACCGCGAGACGGAATTCGGGTGTATATTACTGTGTTCTGACATATTCGGTACTAACAATGTTGACCCAGAGATGTTGTAGGAGACAAGTTTTCAGCCCACAGAGAAGCGAGGCATCAAAATGTTCAGGCGTTGGATTTCTTTGAAACTCTCTCCGTGCTTCTTTATTAGGTCTGGTTAGAAATGGCTTACTTTGTGAGTCTGGCTAAGAATGACTTACTTTGTTGAACCACGGGTCGTGAAGGAGGTCGGCTCCCCGTTTATTCACAATGACAGCGCGGCCATGGTGAAAGCACCGCGATGAACGGCCAAGATTGTCTTGATAGGCATTCAACAATGCGGTTGCTGGCCCACACCGCATCATATCTCGAGTCCTTCTGACGGCTGTCCGGATCAAAGCGGCACTCGCCATGACGAAATGCTATCTCGAACGGTAACGAATGGTCGTGAAGCCTAACGAAGGATGAGGAGAGGCAGCGAGGTGCTTCTGGTGACAATGCAGGGGCTCCGACTACGAAAGCTCGCCAGAATTCGAAGCGCCAACAGGAACTGGCGATACGGAAATGTAATGCGATGTTCCGTCAACTCATAAAATAACGGCGATATGAGCTGCTTGCGCGATACTGGGTGGTAGCGGTAATAAATAGGATGGCGTGAGCTGGTTCTTGCAAATCGGAAGACGAAGCGCGAATTTGTGGATAACGGGGGACGGTGCTGAAAACTACCGTTGAACGCGGTAGAAAGCGGACGAGGGAGTCGGAGCGAGAAGCAACGAGAAGCGAATGTGTAGTAAATAAGTTGAGCGGAGCGGGACGGCTGCAAGGCAACGATGTGATGAACGGCACGCAGCACGAGCCGTCACGCCAGGACCTGAAAAGCAAACTGGAATTTGCGATTGTCACAGGGAGCTGCGTCATGGAATGGAGGTGGAGACTTGGAAAGCTGGCTTGTCAGTGCCAGAAGAACGAATTGCATCCAACAATTGGCATGCGAAGTTACTGACGGTTACCAGCTGCAGTCAGTCGTTGGTGATTGGTTTTGCGGATTGAAGCGCCTTGAAGCTGGTTGACAGAAAGTCAGCCAGACTGACGTCATTACTGCGTTGGCAATTGCAGATTTTGCTCATCTTTGGGACCACATATTTGCTGGAGCAAAAACTTACTTCGCTGCCATGGAAGTTGCTCGACTCGAACAAAAGGTTTATGCAGTAAGGTTTTACTTGTAATTAAAGACCCACCAGAGACATGATGATGTTTTTTTTCGACTATACAGGCAAATTCGAATGTTGTGCCACTACGGCCAACTTCCCAAATATCGGGAATGCTGACGATGAAGAAAAGATTGTGACCTGGCACACAAGCCTCTGCTGGATGAATCTCCAGCAACCCCTTTGAAGCTCGAATTTCGATATATATATATATATATATATATATATATTCATTCCGAGTACGAGAAACATCAAATGTGCTCCTTATCATTACTCTTTTTAGGAAAAGAAAGGCAAGAGTACACATCACATATCAAACACCAAAAATATACGTACAATGTTAACAATGCACGAATTTCACCAGCATGAGACATCATTATATCATATAAAATACCATAATTGTCCCAAGCGAACGACATTGAACCGTTATCAAGGTTCGTCATCGCTCTACAGTGCGCGGCCGTTCGTTAGACTGAGTTTTAAGTCAAAACAGAGTCATCGGTTGCCCGGATCATGGTAGTGATAACGCAGCACCCGGTTGCGCGTGGGAGGAGGTGGGGGATGGGGGGGAGGTGGGAGACAATACCCACTTCAATCTAGCATATGCAAAACTCCACAATTTGCAGTATATATGATTCATTACGCACCTCATCTTGATCAGAACCTGGAGCATTGTAAATCGAGACAGTGTAGGGAGCACGTGAACTCTGGTCAAACAGCTGGTGAAGTGAGTCAACCGGGAAGTAGCCACGCAAAATATCACGCTGCTGACTCACCATATGTCCCAACTCTGCACTGCTGCCATCACATCCCATCCGCATTCGTTTCCAGGTGACCAGTTTTCATGCGCATCTACAGTATCAGCACATATGGGAAAGATGGTGTCACCATCAACATGAGCTGTGCATGTATGATGGTGATGGTGCTGCATGGTACCCACTGGGCGCTCAACGCGTTTTCCATTTCCATCACCTACACGAGAATTCGCGAACCTGCGACAAAGTTCCTTGTCGCACCAAGTTTGTCAGGTTGGCGGTGCCAGTCTGTTTCTGCACCGCTCAACGCGTTTCGCTTGATGGGACTGGCTCGGCGATTCCAGCGCTTGGTAAGCTTCGCTTGGGCCGCGTCGCGACGGGTTGTCCCATCCCCAGAGCAGCGGGGTCCGAGGCCAGCTGTGCATCTGCCGGTTCTATTCTGACCAATCGATGGTGGCTGTTTCCATCACCGAAGGCTCGAGATAAGGCTTCCGTGGTCTGGAAGCAAGAACCGTGATTTCGGGTCGCCGGTGTCGCTAAGCAATGTCGCAGGGAAGTCCCGAAATTATTCACCCTCCCATCCCATCCATCCTCCTTCCCTTCCATCCCTTTCTTGGGGTTTCATTCACCTACATCCCTTTCTTGCAGCTTCATTTCTTCCTCCACAGTTTCGGTTTCTTGATTTTTCTTCTCCGTAGTTCCGTGGCTTGGGAGGGACGTCTCGTGACGCGCTACCTTGGGTCCATCTGGCTGTGAGAAATACGCCGTGATGATCTCTTGGTTAGGTGTCCGTGATTTGTTGATGGCGTCTGAGTTTCTTTCTACCGAGTTCTGTCGTTTCAGTACTGGTTGGACCGTTCGGTCGTCCTATTCTTTAGGTTGAGGTTACTGTCGAAGTTGATTTGTGAATTTGACGTCGCGTCAGTTCCCGTCCCTTTTGAGGCTTCTTCTTCGAAGTCAGCTGGTTACAAATGCCTAGTCGAATTCGGTTTGGCCTTTCGACGCTTAAGATACGAAGGGCTCGTCACCAGTTCGCCCTAGGGTCGCGCTATGTCCCAGATGTTTCGCCACGTTGAGCTATTGAAGCGTGATAACGATTCTATAAAGCGAGTTGAGCACTTTGGGTGTTGGCGTCGAAGAGTCGACTCTCAGTCGTGATTCCGTCTTGAGCGTCGTGAAGAGCGAAGTTTCCGTGCTAAGTGCCTGTGGGCCGTACGTTGCGCTTATCTAACTTGTGTTGACATTTTGTTTATATAGAGTAATCGCTTGTGGAGCGTCAGTTAACCTTGTGATGTACGTCGATGTATATGTATATAATATGATAACGTATAGCGATGACATGTTTCCTCTCGCGCAGGTTGTCGCTGGTTATGGTTTTGCTTGTGCTCGCTGGGATTAGAGCGGATGGTTAGAAATGTTGTGGCAGTTCGTTCGCCTATGCTTGGATACGCGTTCTGCACCCGCAGGTCTCGTGAAACAGGCGAAGGGAAGGCGTGGTGCGGTGTTTTTTTTTGTTTCCACGCACTTCGCTAACAGGTGGTGTTCCTACCATGGTTACCTTCGCTAACAGGTGGTGTTCCTACCATGGTTACCAGTCGGTTTCGGCCTGGGTGCTTCTCCCTCCCACCCTATCCCCCCGAGGGGGCTCTGGGGCTTTCACTTTTTTTTTCTTTTCTTTTCTTGGTGCTTGGGTGCGGTTGCCCCACTAACAGTACTCACGGCCTCGGCGTTAACTCGCGTCATTTCACCCGGTTAATTCAGTACTTTCGAGAGTTCCTTCAACGGTCATGGCTAGAGTACTTCACCTGCGTTCGTCCTGACTGGTGTCGTCTTCTTCGGAATTCAGCCAGCAATTTGTGGAACTAATGGGTTAGTTCAGCCTTTTCTTACCTTACGCCTCGTTCAGCTTCGCGTGCCTCGCTTTGGCGTAGGCGTGTCTCCTTGTGTATCTCCCTCCCTTCCCCTTTTCCCCCTTCCCCCATCCCCGTTGGGGGCTCTGGGGTCTAAGGTGCTTTTCTCTCCTCCGCAGTCCCTTGTTTGCTGTGATTGCCCTGCCAGCAGCACAGCAGAGGATTCATGTTCAGTGGGTCGCTTGCAAGCACGTGTCTGCTGCAGATTCTCCAAGCAGTCGGTGATGGAGTGATATAGCTTCTGAACTTGCAGTTTTTAAAGAAAGCCGTGTTCTTTCCTTGCCCTGATGCGTCCAACATAGCTCCTCCCGTCTAGGCTGTAGCCGCGGTCTCGATTCCCTCGTTGCGTTACACGTGCGTTCTCCCTGGTTGGCGTTCCCGTTCCCGTCCCCTCCCCCCTGGGGCCCCCCTGGCCCCATAACCTGTGCATTTCTCCTTCCTCCCTCGTGTAGCCACACTGCGTTCATCCCCACAGGCTGTGCGCTGGCACCTGTGGTCGATCGGTACGGTCTAGGTGGTTTGGGTCTTTCGGTGTCAAGCACATGGCAGCCGCAGATTCGCCTAGCAATTGGTGACTTGCTTGAGTGATTGAGCCTTTTTACGGAAGATTACAAGCCTTTCCTCTCCTTACCCTGCTGCGTTGCTGTAACTCCATCCGTTTCAGCTGTAGCCTCGGTCGCATTCTGTTACATGCGCGCTTTTTCTGGTTGGCGTTCCTGTCTCTGCAACCCCCCCCCCCCCCCCCCCTCCCCCCCCCCCCCTCTGGGGCACCCTGGCCCTGTAACCTGTGTCTCTCTCCTTCCTCCCTCGTGTAGCCACACTGCGTTCACCCACACAGGCTGTGCTTTGGCACCTGTGGTCGATCGTCTAACCTTCGAGGTGTTTTGGGTCTTTCGGTATGAAGCACGTGGCAGCCGTAGACTCGCCAAGCAATCAGTGACTGAATGCCTTGAGCGTTTCCACGGAAGTTATACAAGCCTTTCCTCTCCTTACCCTGCTGCGTCACTCTAGCTCCATCCGTTTCAGCTTTAGCCTCGGTCGCATTCGGTTACATGCGCGCTTTTTGTGGTTGGCGTTCCCCTGTCTCTCTCCCCCCTCCCTCCTCTGGGGCCCCCTGGCCCCGTAACCTGTGTCTCCTTCCTTTCTCGTGTATCCACACTGCGCGTTCATCCCCATAGGCTGTGCTCTGGCACCTGTGGTCGATCGATTAACCCTGTAGGTGGTTTGGGTCAAGCACTTTGCAGCCGCAGATTCGCCAGCAATCGGTGACTGAGTGATTGAGCCTTTCCACTGATGTTATACAAGCCTTTTGTCTCCTTACCCCGCTGCGTCACTGTAGCTCCTTCCGTTTCAGCTTTAGTCTCGGTCGCATTCCGTTACATGCGTGCTTTTTCTGTTTGGCGTTCCCCTGTCCCTCCCCCCCCCGCCCTCTGGGACCCCCTGTCCCCGTAACCTGTGTTCTCTTCCTTCCTCGTGTAGCTGCACTGCGTTCATCCCCACAGGCTGCGCTCTGGCACGTGAGGTCGAACGATTTACCGTTTAGGTGTTCCGGGTCTTTTGGTTTCAAGCGCAGCCGCAGATGCGTCAAGCATTCGGTGACTGAACGATTCCTCTGCCTGAAAAGCCCGAGCCTTTCGTTTCTCCATACCCTGCTGCGCCAATGTAGCTCCATCCGTTTCAGCTGTAGCCTCGATCGCATTCCGTTACATGCGCGCTTTTCCTGGTTGGCGTTCCCCTGTCTCTGTCCCCCCCCCTCCCCTGGGGCCCCCTGGCCCTGTAACCTGTGTCCTCTTCCTTCCTCGTGTAGCCGCACTGCGTTCGTCCCTACAGGCTGCGCCCTGGCACGTGAGGTCGAACGTCTAACGTCTAGGTGTTTCGGGTCTTTCGGTTTCAAGCACAGCCGCAGATGCGTCAAGCAATTGGTGACAGAACGATTATTCAATCTGAAATGCCGACGCCTGCTTTTTTTCTTCATACCCCGCTGCCTCAGTGTAGTTCCTTCCCTTTCAGCCATAGTTTCGGTTGCATTCCGTTACACGTGCGCTTTTCTTGGTTGGCGTTCCTCTTCCCTCCCCCCCCCTCTTCCCGGGGCCCCCTGGTCCCGTAACCTGTGTCTCTTTCCTCCCTCGTGTAGCCACACTGCGTGCATCCTAACAGCCTGCTCCGGCACCTGAGGTCGAACGTCTAGGCGTTTCGAGTTTTTTTCGGTTTCGAGCACAGCCGCAGAGGCGCCAAGCAATCGGTGACTGAACGAACTCGAAGTTTTATACCTGAAATATGCCGTTCCTCTACATACCCCGCTGCGTCTAGCTCCATCCATTTCAGCTGTAGCTTCGGTTCCATTCCGTTACACGTGCGCTTTTTCTGGTTGGCGTTTCCCTGTCCTTCCCTCCCCCCCGGGGCCCCCTGGCCCCGTAACCTGTGTCTCTTTCCTTCCTCGTCTAGCCACGCTGCGTCATTCCCACAGGGCTCGTTTTCCGCTTATCGTCGATCGTCTAACTGTCGAGGTGTTTCGGGTCCTTCGGGTTCAAGCACAGCCACAGATGCGTCAAGCTCTCGGTGACTGAATGATTCAGCCTCGCTGAACTGTATATTTCAAACGCATTTCTCTCCTAACCCCTGCTGCGTCCAGTATAGCTCCATCCGTTACAGCTCTAGTCAGTCGCATTCTGTTGTGCGTGCACTTTTCCTGGTTGGCGTTCCCCTTCCCCTCCCTCCCCCCTGGGGCCCCCTGGCTCCGTAACCTTGTCTCCTTCCTTCCTCCCTCTAGCCACACTGCGTTCGTCCCCACAGGCCGCCTACTGCCGCCTGTCGTAGATCCTCTGACCGTTTCGGTTGTAACCACGCGTCAGCTGCAGATGCGCCAGATTATAATGATAGGTGATTGAACCATGTTCGCCACACTCGTTCCGCACCTGGACTATCAGACTCTCCTATTCACAACGTGCCGCGCCCAGTCTATATCAGTCTGTTAAAGCTGTGACCTCGACCCTAGTCCGTTCCATGCGTTACACGAGTGCTGGTTGGCGTTCCCCCTCCCCTCCCTGGGGCCCCCTGGCCCTGTAACCTTCTGTCTCCTTCCTCCCTTCTGTGGCCACACCGCGTAGTTCCCACAGGGTGCGTTCTACGGCCTCTCGTTGGTCGTCTAACCGTCCTCGGATGTGTCGGGTGCTTGGTTCCAGCCGGTCAGGTGTTCCGTGCTCCTCATTAGGTCTCCTGTGCTCTTCAGTACACCTTTTGACCATCGCAGCTCCCTCCGTCCATCGTTCAGTGTGTCAGACGTTGGTGCTCTTTGGCTGTCTTGTAGCTTCGAGTTCTCCTGGCCTCCCTGTTGGCGTTCCTCCCTCCTCTCCTCCCCTCCCCTCTCTCCCCCCGTTCCCCCTCCCCTGGGCCCCCTGGCCCCATAACCTGTGTCTGTTTCCCTTCCTCTCCAAGCCACACCGCTCTCGTCCCCACAGGCCGCGTTCCCTCACCTCTCCCTTTGGCGTCCCTTCCCGTTCAGCCGCGTTTTGGCACTCGTCAGGTTCCCAATGCAGTGTGACTCGTGTGTTCTAATGCAGTGTGACTCTAGTTCTTTGATTCTTCGCTGCTGCCTCCTTTGACCATCATGCAGTGCTCTAGACGTCCCTGCTTCTGGCCTCTCTTCCTTGCCTTGTTGGCTCTCTCCTGGTTTGCACTCCCCTCCGTTCCCTCCCCTCCGCTCCGTCCCCGCCCCCCCCTCCCCCGGGCCCCCCTGGCCCCATAACCTGTGTTCTCTCCGCGTCTCTCGCCCCGCCAGCCATATTCCCCCCGTCCCCCGTCCAGGCCGCGAGCTCTGCCGCGCCTCTCTGCCGCGCTTCCCTTCCGCGCCCCCCCTGCGCCATCTCTACCTGCGCCTGCTTTGTGCCTCTCCTCGCGCTGCTGTCTGCTGCTCCTGCTGAACTCCTGCGTCTCTCCGCCTGCTGTCTGCACGTCTCTGCTTCTGCTCTGCCGTCCACTGTCTACTCGTCCACTCCTCTGCTTCCATCTACGCGTCTACCACCGCGTCCTCGTGTCTGCATCGTTGCGTTCATCCTGCTGTTCGTGTTGTTTGCCATTGGTCATCATCGCCTGTAATTACGCGTAAAGTCCGCCCAACCGAAGCTGGTGTGTTTGAAGTGTTTGTTGCGCATAGATCAGATTATAGTTGCTGCAACGTTCTAGTCCTCGTGCATATTTCCTCGCGAACTGTAGCTGTTAATGGGATAGGGAGGTGGTTGTTGCTTGGTATTGCTGTTGCTGTGTGTGCTGCTTTTCTGTGCGTCCAGGGCAGGGAGAGAGCGTGCTGGGGAAAGGGTAGCCTGCACTGCTGAGACAAACTTTTTGCTGTCGGCGTATTCGTTGGGGCAGCTGCTTCTGCTGAAACGAACGCGTGCAAGTCGACCGGGTGTGGCGGGTCTAGGAAGCACTGTGGGCGAGCGACCGTTGAGGCGCAAAGGGCGGGGTGCTGATCGGGGCTTGAACACACACAACGAATGGACGCCATGTGTCTGCTGTCTGCACGGCCGAGTGAAGAACCACCGGCTGAGACGGGAAGACACACGGGATGCGCTTGTGTTTGCAGGTTAAAACCGGTGGCTCTGTGGCGGCTGTGCTAAAACGGGTTCCAGGCGAACGCGAGGGAGAGAAGAACGGGTGTGGGCGAACGCGAGCGGGATCGAGTGGCGCGTGTCTGCTGGCTGCACGTCTGCTGGGATAACCACAGGCTGCAGGAGAAGACACCCCCTTCTTTGTTGCAGGATCTTGAAGCACCACCAGAGGGGCATTTGAGAAGGTGCACGGGCCGAGCGAGCACGAGTGACCAACGAGGGTGGGGCGAGGAACGGTATTGATTGGCGCGTCTGCTGGCTGCACGTCTGTTGGAACAACCGCAGGCGGCGACAGGAGACACTCGCCAACCCTTTTTCCGTGCAGGTCGAGAAGCAAACGCGTTGGATGTGAGGCTGCGTGTCTGCTGTCTGCACGTCCGTTGAACAGCCGCGGGTGCTGATAGGAAGACACGAGGGCGCGGGTGTGGGCTCGAGGGGTGAACGCGCAGGCGACGGCCGTGACAAGTTGCGTGTGTCTGCTGGCTGCTCGTCTGCTGGGACAACCGCAGGCGGTGACGGGAGACACTCGCCATCCCCCTTGCAGGTTGAGAAGCAAAGAAGCAAACTCGTTGGATGGGAGTCGGTGGTTGTGTCTGCTGTCTGGACGTCCGTTGAACAAGCGTGGGTGCTGATGGGAAGACACAGGAGTGCGGGCTTGAGGCGTGAACGCGCGTGGGGCGAGGGTCGGTCGTAGCGGGTGTTGCGCATCTGCTGTCTGCACGTCTGCTGGGACAACCGCAGGTGCTGATGGGAAGACGCGAGTGAACATGAAGAAGGGAAACGAGCGAGTAGGACAACCAGAAGACGCGGGCGGGTAAAGGGAGCGCGCACGTGTGTGTCTGCTGTCTGCACATCTGCTGGGACAACCACAGGCCTGCTTCAAGAGACACCCACCAATTTCCCCGTTTGCAGGTTAAGGACATTCGGCGGCGCTTTTGAAGAGATATTGGCACGAGTGACAAGCGAGTGAGGCGGTAACGAATGACGCGTGTCTGCACGTCTGCTGGGACCAGCGCAGGCTGCATCGGAGGCACCAACGAACCATCCCTTGTCTTGCAGGATGAAAAAACACACAGAGACGGCTTCAAAAAGACACACGGGCACAAGGAACGAACGAGTGGCGCACGTCTGCCGTCTGCACGTCTGCTGGGACAACCGCGGGCGCTGATGGGAAGACGCACGGAGGTTCAGAGCATGGGGCGCGAGCGAGCGGAACGTGAGCAGGAAGGCTGGTGGGGGCTGTGCGTGTGTGTCTGCTCTCTACACGTCTGCTGGAACAACCGCAGGCGGCAGCGGGAGACACCCACCGAACCCCTTTTCCCTTGCAGGTCGTGAGAAGGAAGTACGAAGGCAGTGTGAAGTGCGGTTGGTGGAGGTGATGCAGGGTGGAGGGCGAGCGACGTGAGAGAGGGACGCGCGCGTGTGTCTGCCTGCCGTCTGCACGGCTGCAATGGGAAGACCCACGAGGATGCACGCGCAGGCAGGGGTGTATGGACAACGAGACGAGCGGGTGCGCGGATGGAGAATAGGGCGAATGCGAACGCGGGGGCGCGTGGGAAGACGCGTGAGGATGCACGCGCGGGGGCGTGCGGGTGGCGAGCGACTTCTGGAAATTTGGACGGACGCGAACACGGTGGGAGGGAGTGGCGCGTGGCTGCTGTCTGCACGTCTGCAACCGCGGGCTGCAACGGGAGACACCCACCACCCAATCCCCTTCCCTTGCAGGTCGTGAGAAGTAAGAAGGAAGTAAGAAGGAAGTAAGAAGGAAGTAAGAAGGAAGTAAGAAGGAAGTAAGAAGGAAGTAGGGACGAAAGTTGACGGTTGCTGGAGGGCGAGCGGCGTGAGGGACGCGCGTGTCTGCTGTCTGCATTGGTGCACCAAGCGTGCTGCCGTAATGGAAACGCGTGCATTTGTGAGGACGCACGCGTGCGAGCGACAAGCAGTTGTGCGTACTGGAAACGCGGGCGAGTGCGAACGGGTGTGGGATCGAGTGGCGAGTGGCTGCTGTCTGCACGTCTGCTGGGACAACCGCGGGCGGCAACTTGAGACACCCACCCAATCCCCTTCCCATTGCAGGTTTTTGAAGAGTGAGGCCCGCTGGGTGTGGGTTGCAGTGCCATATGCTCGTCTGCATAGCGTGGCGTCTGCACATCTGCATGGCTGCATGTCTTGGCATTTGGTCTGCTGCAACACCGCAGGCTGCAGAGGCGACTGGTGGGTGGCGGCTGGTGCGGGGCGAACGCGGACGGGATGGTCTGCTGTTGTCTGCATGTGCAGGACGCACTGATTGGTGTCTGGTTTGTTGCACTACTGCGGGCTCCAGTGGCGGGCGCGCGGGAGGTTCTGCGCTCGGTGGGCGCATGGCGACCGGTGGGATGGTCGCCAGCGGGGCGGACGTGGTTGACATGTGGCGTCTGGTCTGCTGCACTACCGCGGGCTCCAGTGGCGAGCGCGCGGGCTAGCGCGCAGGTGGAATGAGGTCGCTCTGGTGGACGTATGGCGACTGGTGGGATGGTTTGCGGTCGGCTGGTGCGGGGGAACGCGGACGGAATGGTCTGCTATTGGCACGTCTGCTGCAGGGAGACATGCGCCAGCCCCGTTGCACTTGCAGGTTCTTGTTTCCAGCGTCTGCTTGGCAACTCGTTGGCTTGTCTGCGTGTCTGCTGGGCTACTGGGGCAACTTCAGTTTTACAGCCACAATGGTACTGGCGCGGGTGGGTGCACTGTGGGGTGTGGTGGACGCGTGTTCGGTGGCCGGGTGTGTGTCCGGGCATGTGGCGGGCTTGGACGGGAGTGCACGAGCGGGGGAGAGTGTGTGCTGCAGCTGCACGCGTCTGCTGAGACAGACAAGGGCGTGGAGGGGGCAACACTCGCGGTGGGAATGGGCGGATGGGCGCAAGCGCGGATGGGCGCACGGCGCAGATGGGCGCACGGCGCGGGTGGGCGCACGGCGCGGTTGGGCGCACGGCGCGGTTGGGCGCACGGTGCGGTTGGGCGCACGCTGGATGGGCGCACGTTGGATGGGCGCACGTTGGATGGGCGTACGTTGGATGGGCGCACGTTGGATGGGCGCACGTTGGATGGGCGCACGTTGGATGGGCGCACGTTGGATGGGCGCACGTTGGATGGGCGCACGTTGGATGGGCGCACGTTGGATGGGCGCACGTTGGATGGGCGCACGTTGGATGGGCACACGTCGGATGGGCGCACGTTGGATGGGCGCACGTTGGATGGGCGCATGGCGGATGGGCCCATGGCGGATGGGCCCATGGCGGATGGGCCCATGGCGGATGGGCATAGTGCGGATGTGCGCAAGCGCGGATGAGCGCGTGGCGGATTGGCAGACGGGCGTGGGGCGCATGTGTCGGATGTGTCTGCAAGTCTGCTGGGACAACCACAGGCTGCCACTGGTCGACACTTGCCAAACCCTAGATTTGTTGCAGGTTGAAGTGATGAGCTGGTGGGACGCGCGGGACACTGAGGGAACCCGAGCTTGCGAGCTTGTGAGCGCGGGTGGACGCATGGTGGGACATACGGCGGACTTGGATGGGTTGAGAGGTGTCTGCTGCGTCTGCACGTCTGCTGGGACAGCCACAGGCTGCAACTGGTCGACCCTCAGCGAACCCCCAGATTTTGCAGGTTGAATTGATAAGCTCGCGGGACGCGTGGGAGAGAGGGACACGGGATTCGGGGCGAGCGCGGATGGGCGCACGCGGTGGGCAGGGGCATCACGGGTGTATCATGGGTGATCACGGGATTCGGGACAAGCGTGAGTGTGTCTACCAAGTCTGCACGTCTGCTGGGACAACCACAGGCTGCACTGGTTTTGACACTCGCCAACAATCCTTGCATGTTGATGAGATAAGCTGGTGGGACGCGTGGGAGCGGGACACTGGCGCGGCTGGCCGCATGGCGGATGAGTGTTTGGGCGGGGTGGCGGCGGGCGTGGGGGCGGACGGGCGGGGTGGCGGACATGTGGCTTCCGCGCCTGCACGTGCAACCGCAGGCAGCTGGGCTGCTTGGGACCATTGGGCGATGTGGAGTGGCTGCAGATGGGACGAGAGGGAGAATGATGACCGCGTGGAGTTTATGCACGAGTTGGTTGTGGTGGTCTGCACGTCTGCTGCTATGCATGTACTGTAATGCTGCAAACGCTGGAACAGAGGGTTGAGGACGGTGCAGGGCGAGTGGGACGGTGCAGGGCGAGTGGGACGGTGCAGGGCGAGTGGGACGGTGCAGGACGAGTGGGACGGTGCAGGGCGAGTGGGACGGTGCAGGGCGAGTGGGACGGTGCAGGGCGAGTGGGACGGTGCAGGGCGAGTGGGACGGTGCAGGGCGAGTGGGACGGTGCAGGGCGAGTGGGACGGTGCAGGGCGAGTGGGACGGTGCAGGGCGAGTGGGACGGTGCAGGGCGAGTGGGACGGTGCAGGGCGAGTGGGACGGTGCAGGGCGAGTGGGACGGTGCAGGGCGAGTGGGACGGTGCAGGGCGAGTGGGACGGTGCAGGGCGAGTGGGACGGTGCAGGGCGAGTGGGACGGTGCAGGGCGAGTGGGACGGTGCAGGGCGAGTGGGACGGTGCAGGGCGAGTGGGACGGTGCAGGGCGAGTGGGACGGTGCAGGGCGAGTGGGACGGTGCAGGGCGAGTGGGACGGTGCAGGGCGAGTGGGACGGTGCAGGGCGAGTGAGACGGTGCAGGGCGAGTGGGACGGTGCAGGGCGAGTGGGACGAGTGGTGTGTGGCAATGCGAGGGATTGGGATCGAGAGGGAAGTTCGCCTGAAAGAGGTCTGGCGGAGGAGTTCTTGAGGATTTCTGGCAGGACAATCCGATTATGGGTGTAGAGTGGTTGACTGTCGCGAACGGCGGTCTTAACTTCTTTTCTGAGACTGAGGCGTAGTGATGGGGGCGTGTGCAACGAAGTGGATAGGCTCCAATTGGGGATGTGCGGTGGAGGGAGGCAAGAGGCGGCCGGTGTTGTGACAGGTAGCTGTGATGGTAACAGGTGGAAATGTGGTTGGGCAGTAGCTGTTGTGTTTGGAGTGAGTTAGTGGTAGCTGGTTCAGCTTGGGCGGCGGGTGAAGTGAGGGAGGTAGTGCTGGCGGTTTTGGCTGGAGTGGTTGGTAAATAGGTGATAATAACTGTATGTTGTGTCAACAGGTCTTGGGGGAAGGTGCTGGGGAAAGGTGTTGGGGAAAGGTCGACAGGTGATGTGAGCAGTGGAGGTAGACATGAGAGGGTGGTGGAGGAAAAAGCTGCTATGTCTGGGCTGGACAGGTGAGGATGAGAGCTAAGGAAGAGCGATTTTGTTAATTTTTTTGTCAGCTGATATGGGAGGTTTCACAAGAGTGCCACGTCACAGTGTGCCTACCCCTGCAGTGCAGTTGGGGGCTGTTCTTGGTTTTTGAGTGTCTTCTTGGTGTATAGGTGCTGTTGTTCCTGGTTCTTGTGGTTTCTCTTCGTGGGCGTATGGTTTGGTTGATGAAGAGCTTGATGCGAAGGTTGCTGTGTCGACGTTAAGGTGCAGATGGCGGGTGGTGGTTGGCGGTTTGTTGAAGAGGGAAGCTGTGACGGAAGTCAGACCAGTTGATGCTGTAGCGGTGTGGCTGCTGTGTGTCTCTTCTCGTGTCCTGCTGCATTGCTGCTGTTCCTGCTGCTGCGAGGCTTGTGCTGGTGGCTGGTGCTGGTTGCTCCCTTTTCCCATACTTCAAACTACAGGAGCTGATGGAATTGGCCGGGGATTGATTGTGTGGTGGGCCGATTCAAGACAGCAGAGAAGTCAGGCAAGCTGACGAGTGGTGCTGTGTAGCTGCTGTTCGCCTCTGCTTGTGTGTTGCTGCCTTGGTGCTGTTCTTTCTTCTGCTGGGTGGTAGTGTTTAGTCACTGGTGCTGGTGGTTCGTGGTTCAGGGTTCTGCATCCTCTTTTCAACACCACAGGAGCTGATGCAACGTCCGGGTGAATGCTTGGTGGTGGATTCATGGAAGACAAAGCAAGGCAAGATGATAAGTGACCCTGTGTAGCTGCTGTACGTTCTGAGGTGCTGCTCCTGCTTCTGCTTATTGGGTTGTAGTGGCTGGTGCTGGTGGCTCGTGGCTGGTGCGGTGCTGGTGGTTCGTGGTCCCGTGTTTTCTTTGAACACCACAGGAGCATGCGTATGCAACATACGGATCAATGCTTGGCGGCGGGTTTAATCAAGAGCAAGCCAGGCAAGCTGATGAGTGACCCCGTGTAGCTGCTGTGCGTTTTGAGGTGCTGCTCCTGCTTCTGCTGGGTTGCTGGTGGCTGTTGGCTGGTCCTGGTGCTCGTGGTTGGTGGCTGGTCGTCCCGTATCCTCCGTTTTACCACAGGAGCTGATGCAACATCTGGACTAATTATGCTGGGCAATTCATTCTTCACAATTACACCAGGCAAGCTGATGAGTGATGCTGTTCACATGCTGCTCTGATGGCCGCCTGTAGCTGCTCTGCTTTGGCACCTGCTGTCCCTGTCTGCTACTGCAGCGTCTTTGGCATCTGTTTTACCCGAAACCCTTCAACGTCTTTGGCGCGCATGTTTCCCCGAATCCTGCAACGTCTTAAGCCCGTGTTATCCAAAGCCTTTCTATGTCTTTGGCCCCTGTGTAACCCTCAACCCTTCAACATCTTTGGCCCCTATGTTACCCCAAACCCTGCAACGTATTTAGCCCCTGTGTTTCCCTAAACCTTTTGATGTCTTTGGACCCTGTGTTCTCAAAAGCCTTTCAACTGTTTCGGCCCTTAAATAAAACCCATCAACGCCTTTGGCCCTCGTGTTACCCTAAGCCCTTGCACCTTTTTTGCTCCTGTTGCTCTCTTCCATCTGCTGGACCTCTGACTGCTGATTTTGGTGCTGAAACTCTTCCATTTTATTTCCGTAAATCCATCCACATCTGCACGTCTCAACTGCAATTCTTAACCTGCAAATCATCAGTCAAACCACAATATCTCACCACTTCTCGTCACCACTCTTCAGACTAACTACATCAGCTCATCTGCACATCTTGTCTCTATGACCCATCTGAAGCAATGTTTTCCGTCTTCATATATTAAGTTGACCTGCATCAGACCTTTCACCTCATCTGAACTCTTGGTTTCAGCAGAAACTCGGCCTCGTCTCTAAGCCTCACTCTTTGACTAACCATCCTAGACTCCCATCATTCTGACATCATTTCACGACTGAATTGACGCGACACACCTTTGATGACACTTCTCAACATCACTTTCGAACTTCACTTTTCAACGCCACTTTTCATCGACACTTCTCACTTTTTCAATGACATTTCTCAACATCTTTTTCAAAACTACTTTCCAACGTCACTTTTCAACATCACTTTTCCCAAGCCACTTTTCAAAGCCACTTTGCAAAGCCAACGTTACTTTTCAACGTTACTTCTCAACGTTATTTTCCAACGTTACTTTCCAACGTTACTTTCCAACGTTACTTTCCAACGTCACTTTTCAACGTCACTTCTCAATGCCTCTTTTCAACGTTACTTAACGTCACTTTTCAAAGTTACTTCTTGATGGCACTTTTTACTTTCAACCTGATTCAACTACTGACGACAGTCTCGGTTGATCCAATCACTAAATTTTCAATCACTCCATTGATCCTCATTGACTTGCCAAAACCTCATTCCCTACATTGTGTTGAATCGGCCATTGTTCACTCCTCTGATTCAATCCTCCTTCATATTGTCTCATTCTGCATTGTTTCATACTTCCGTTCTCCATACGAACACCCTCTGTTTGTCACCTTCCATACGTCATCTATGCATACTTCAATCATCTTAACACTTTTAATCTCCTCATCTTTCAATCGCCTCAGTTTTTCAATTCCTCATTTTTCCGTTATCCAATCGTTAATGTTCATAATTGATATCCAACCATGACACTTATAGTGACAATCCTCTATCATCGCCTCCTATACTTTCTGAATCAACCGCTGCCTCCAATCTACTTCTCAATCTGCCCTCAATGCATTGAATCGCTCCTTATCCCATGCTCTGGACTGATTGTCCCTATCCTCGACTACCATACACTGCCTCCTGCATCATTATTCCTTGACCTTTCAGCTGATCCCACTGCTCGAACCTGTGCTTCTGAATCAACCACTGCATTCTACTTCTCAATGCTCTCATCAAGGCCTCCTTACCCCATACATATCGATTACCATACACTGCCTCCTGCATCATCATTTCACCCTCTGCATTTCATCTACTCATCCAGCTGCCCTCATCAACGGATTCCATTTACATATTTCCTATTTTCAACTGCCATTCCTCCTACTTTTCCTCAATCGACGATCACATCTA